GACGATGATGCGAACAAAGAGTTGGTGATGCTACAATTTGCATGTACAAAAATTGAGGCGGGCTCTGCTTACATAATAGAATGGTTGCAGCAAAAAAGGAACAGAAGATGATGCGAACAAAGAGTTGGTGATGCTACAATTTGCATCTACAAAAAATTTAGGCGGGCTCCCTCATACCTAATACAATGGTTGCAAACCAAAGGAACAGACGATGATGCGAACAAAGAGTTTGTGATGCTAAAAATTTGCATCTAAAAAAAATTTAGGCGGGCTCTTCTCACCTAATAGAATGTTTGCCAGCAAAAAGGAACAGACGATGATGCGAACAAAGAGTTGGTGATGCTACTATAAAAATTTGCATGTACAAAAATTGAGGCGGGCTCTGCTTACATAATAGAATGGTTGCCAGCAAAAGGAACAGAAGATGATGCGAACAAAGAGTTGGTGATGCTACAATTTGCATCTACAAAAATTTAGGCGGGCTCTTCATACCTAATACAATGGTTGCAAACCAAAGGAACAGACGATGATGCGAACAAAGAGTTTGTGATGCTAAAATTTGCATCTACAAAAATTTAGGCGGGCTCTTCTCACCTAAAAGAATGTTTGCCAGCAAAATGAACAGACGATGAGGCGAACAAAGAGTTGGTGATGCTACAATTTGCATCTATAAAAATTTAGACGGGCTCTGCTTACATAATAGAATGGTTGCCAGCAAAAGGAACAGACGATGAGGCGAACAAAGAGTTGGTGATGCTACAATTTGCATGTACAAAAATTTAGGCGGGCTCTGCTTACATAATAGAATGTTTGCCAGCAAAAAGGAACAGACGATGAGGCGAACAAAAGTGTTGGTGATGCTACAATTTGCATGTAGCAAAAGGAAAAAATTGCGAACAAAGGTTGGGCTCTGCATCTACAAAAATTTAATAGAATGGTTGCCAGCAAAAGGAAACAGACGATGATGCGAACAAAAAGAGTTGGTGATGTTACAATTTGCATCTACAAAAAAATTTAGGCGGGCTCTTCATACCTAATACAATGGTTGCCAGCAAAAAGAAACAGACGATGATGCGAACAAAGAGTTGATGATACTACAATTTGCATCTACAAAAATTTTGGCGGGCTCTTCTCACCTAATAGAATATTTGCCAGCAAAAGGAACAGACGATGACGCGAACAAAGTGTTGGTGATGCTACAATTTGCATGTACAAAATTTAGGCGGGCTCTGCTTACATAATAGAATGGTTGCCAGCAAAAGGAACAGACGATGATGCGAACAAAGAGTTGGTGATGCTACAATTTGCATGTACAAAAATTTAGGCGGGCTCTGCTTACATAATAGAATGGTTGCCAGCAAAAGGAACAGACGATGATGCGAACAAAGAGTTGGTGATGCTACAATTTGCATGTACAAAAATTTAGGCGGGCTCAGCTTACATAACAGAATGGTTGCCAGCAAAAGGAACAGACGATGATGCGAACAAAGAGTTGGTGATTTGCATCTACAAAATTTAGGCATCACGTAATAGAATGGCTCACAGCAAAAGGAACAACGATGATGCGAACAAAAGAGTTGGTGATGCTCAATTTGCATCTACAAAAATTTATATCTAAATGGTGGCCAGCCAGGAAAAAGGAACAGATGATGATGCGAACAAAGAGTTGGTGATGCTACAATTTGCATCTACAAAAATTTAGGCGGGCTCTTCATACCTAATACAATGGTTGCCAGCCAAAGGAACAGACGATGATGCGAACAAAGAGTTGTGATGCTACAGTTTGCATCTACAAAAATTTAGGCGGGCTCTTCTCACTTAATAGAATGGTTGCCAGCAAAAGGAACAGACGATGATGCGAACAAAGAGTTGGTGATGCTACAATTTGCATCTACAAAAATTTAGGCGGGCTCTGCTTAAATAATAGAATGGTTGCCAGCAAAAAGGAACAGACGATGATGCGAACAAAAGAGTTGGTGATGCTACAATTTGCATCTACAAAATTTAGGCGGGCTTCTACTTAATAGAATGGTTGCCAGCAAAAGGAACAGACGATGATGCGAACAAAGAGTTGGTGATGCTACAATTTGCATCTACAAAAAATTTAGGCGGGCTCTTCTCACATAATAGAATGGTTGCCAGCAAAAGGAACAGACGATGATGCGAAAAAAAGAGTTGGTGATGCTACAATTTGCATCCACAAAAATTTAGGCGGGCTCTTCTTACATAATAGAATGGTTGCCAGCAAAAGGAACAGACGATGATGCGAACAAAGAGTTGGTGATGCTACAATTTGCATCTACAAAATTTAGGCGGGCTCTTCTTACATAATAGAATGGTTGCCAGCAAAAAGGAACAGACGATGATGCGAACAAAGAGTTGGTGATGCTACAATTTGCATCTACAAAAATTTAGGCGGGCTCTTAATAGAATGGTTGCCAGCAAAAGGAACATACGATGAGAATGGTTGCCAATTTGTATCTACAAAAAGGAACATAATAGAATGGATGATGCGAACGATGAAACAAAGAGTTGGTGATGCTACAATTTGCATCTACAAAAAATTTAGGCGGGCTCTTCTTACATAATAGAATGGTTGCCAGCAAAAGGAACAGACGATGATGCGAACAAAGAGTTGGTGATGCTACAATTTGCATCTACAAAAAATTTAGGCGGGCTCTGCTTACATAATAGAATGGTTGCCAGCAAAAAGGAACAGACGATGATGCGAACAAAGAGTTGGTGATGCTGCATCTAAAAAAATTTAGGCGGGCTCTACATAAAAATAGTTGCCAGCAAAAGGAACAAAGACAGATGATGGAACAAAGATTTGGTGATGCTACAATTTGCATCTACAAAATTTAGAATGGCTCTTCTCACTTAATAGAATTTGCCAGCAAAAGGAACAGACGATGATGCGAACAAAGAGTTGGTGATGCTACAATTTGCATGTACAAAAATTTAGGCGGGCTCTGCTTACATAATAGAATGGTTGCCAGCAAAAGGAACAGACGATGATGCGAACAAAGAGTTGGTGATGCTACAATTTGCATCTACAAAAATTTAGGCGGGCTCTTCTCACCTAATAGAATGGTTGCCAGCAAAAGGAACAGACGATGATGCGAACAAAGAGTTGGTGATGCTACAATTTGCATGTACAAAAATTTAGGGCGGGCTCTTCTCACATAATAGAATGGTTGCCAGCAAAAGGAACAGACGATGATGCGAACAAAGAGTTGGTGATGCTACAATTTGCATCTACAAAAAAATTAATAGAATGGTTGCCATTAAAAAGGGGCTCAAAGTGTTGGTGATGCTACAATTTACATAATAGAATGGTTGCCAGCAAAAAGGAACAGACGATGATGCGAACGAACAGGCGGGCTCTTCTTACATAATAGAAGTTGCCAGCAAAAGGAACAGACGATGATGCGAACAAAGAGTTGGTGATGCTACAATTTGCATCTACAAAAATTTAGGCGGGCTCTTCATACCTAATACAATGGTTGCCAGCCAAAGGAACAGACAATGATGCGAACAAAGAGTTGGTAATGCTACAATTTGCATCTACAAAAATTTAGGCGGGCTCTTCTCACTTAATAGAATGGTTGCCAGCAAAAGGAACAGACGATGATGCGAACAAAGAGTTGGTGATGCTACAATTTGCATCTACAAAAATTTAGGCGGGCTCTGCTTACATAATAGAATGGTTGCCAGCAAAAGGAACAGACGATGATGCGAACAAAGAGTTGGTGATGCTACAATTTGCATCTACAAAAATTTAGGCGGGCTCTTCTTACATAATAGAATGGTTGCCAGCAAAAGGAACAGACGATGATGCGAACAAAGAGTTGGTGATGCTACAATTTGCATCTACAAAAATTTAGGCGGGCTCTTCTAACCTAATAGAATGGTTGCCAGCAAAAAGGAACGATGATGCGAACAAAGAGTTGGTGATGCTACAATTTGCATCTACAAAAATTTAGGCGGGCTCTGCTTACATAATAGAATGGTTGCCAGCAAAAGGAACAGACGATGATGCGAACAAAGAGTTGGTGATGCTACAATTTGCATCTACAAAAATTTAGGCGGGCTCTGCTTACATAATAGAATGGTTGCCAGCAAAAGGAACAGACGATGATGCGAACAAAGAGTTGGTAATGCTACAATTTGCATCTACAAAAATTTAGGCGGGCTCTTCTCACTTAATAGAATGGTTGCCAGCAAAAGGAACAGACGATGATGCGAACAAAGAGTTGGTGATGCTACAATTTGCATCTACAAAAATTTAGGCGGCTCTGCTCACCTAATAGAATGGTTGCCAGCAAAAGGAACAGACGATGATGCGAACAAAGAGTTGGTGATGCTACAATTTGCATCTACAAAAATTTAGGCGGGCTCTTCATACCTAATACAATGGTTGCCAGCCAAAGGAACAGACGATGATGCGAACAAAGAGTTGATGATGCTACAATTTGCATCTACAAAAATTTAGGCGAGCTCTGCTTACATAATAGAATGGTTGCCAGCAAAAGGAACAGACGATGATGCGAACAAAGAGTTGGTGATGCTAACAATTTGCATCTACAAAAAATTTAGGCGGGCTCTGCTTACATAATAGAATGGTTGCCAGCAAAAGGAACAGACGATGATGCGAACAAAGAGTTGGTGATGCTACAATTTGCATCTACAAAAATTTAGGCGGGCTCTGCTTACATAATAGAATGGTTGCCAGCAAAAGGAACAGACGATGATGCGAACAAAGAGTTGGTGATGCTACAATTTGCATCTACAAAAATTTAGGCGGCTCTGCTCACCTAATAGAATGGTTGCCAGCAAAAGGAACAGATGATGATGCGAACAAAGAGTTGGTGATGCTACAATTTGCATCTACAAAAATTTAGGCGGGCTCTGCTTACATAATAGAATGGTTGCCAGCAAAAGGAACAGACGATGATGCGAACAAAGAGTTGTGATGCCACAATTTGCATCTACAAAATTTAGGCGGGCTCTTCATATAATAGAATGGTTGCCAGCAAAAGGAACAGACTACGAAAAATACAATTTGCAGCTACAAAAAAAGGAACAGAATGGTTGCCAACTGACGATGAGAACAAAGAGTTGGTGATGCTACAATTGCATCTACAAAAAATTTAGGCGGGCTCTGCTTACATAATAGAATGGTTGCCAGCAAAAAGGAACAGACGATGATGCGAACAAAGAGTTGGTGATGCTACAATTTGCATCTACAAAAATTTAGGCGGGCTCTTCTCACCTAATAGAATGGTTGCCAGCAAAAGGAACAGACGATGAGGCGAACAAAGTGTTGGTGATGCTACAATTTGCATCTACAAAAATTTAGGCGGGCTCTTCTCACATAATAGAATGGTTGCCAGCAAAAGGAACAGACGATGTTGCGAACAAAGAGTTGGTGATGCTACAATTTGCATCTACAAAAATTTAGGCGGGCTCAAAGGAACAGACGATTACAAAAGAGTTGGTGATAATAAAAAAAATGGTTGCCAGCAAAAAGGAACAGACGATGATGCGAACAAAGAGTTGGTGATGCTACAATTTGCATCTACAAAAATTTAGGCGGGCTCTGCTTCACATAATAGAATGGTTTGCCAGCAAAAGGAACAGACGATGATGCGAACAAAGAGTTGGTGATGCTACAATTTGCATCTACAAAAATTTAGGCGGGCTCTCATACATAATAGAATGGTTACAGCCAAAGGATGGTTGCCAGCAAAGGAACAGACGATGATGCAAACAAAGAGTTGGTGATGCTACAATTTGCATCTACAAAAAATTTAGGCGGGCTCTGCTTACATAATAGAATGGTTGCCAGCAAAAGGAACAGACGATGATGCGAACAAAGAGTTGGTGATGCTACAATTTGCATCTACAAAAATTTAGGCGGGCTCTGCTTACATAATAGAATGGTTGCCAGCAAAAGGAACAGACGATGATGCGAACAAAGAGTTGGTGATGCTACAATTTGCATCTACAAAAATTTAGGCGGGCTCTGCTTACATAATAGAATGGTTGCCAGCAAAAGGAACAGACGATGATGCGAACAAAGAGTTGGTGATGCTGATTTGCATCTACAAAAAATTTAGGCGGGCATCTACAAAAATTTGCCAGCAAAAGGGACGATGATGGAACAAAGAGTTGGTGATCTTACAATTTGCATCTACAAAAATTTATAATGGCTCTGCCAGCAAAAGGAACAGACGATGATGCGAACAAAGAGTTGGTGATGCTACAATTTGCATCTACAAAAATTTAGGCGGGCTCTTCATACCTAATACAATGGTTGCCAGCCAAAGGAACAGACGATGATGCGAACAAAGAGTTGGTGATGCTACAATTTGCATCTACAAAAAAAAATTTACATAATAGAATGGCTCTTCTCACAGACGATGATGCGAACAAAGAGTTGGTGATGCCAGCATCTACAAAAAAGGAACATAACGAAATGATGCAAAAAGGAACAAATGAGTTGGTGATGCTACAATTTGCATCTACAAAAATTTAGGCGGGCTCTGCTAACACATAATAGAATGGTTGCCAGCAAAAGGAACAGACGATGATGCGAACAAAGAGTTGGTGATGCTACAATTTGCATCTACAAAAAATTTAGGCGGCTCTGCATACCTAATAGAATGGTTGCCAGCAAAAGGAACAGACGATGATGCGAACAAAAGAGTTGGTGATGCTACAATTTGCATCTACAAAAATTTAGGCGGGCTCTTCACATAATAGAATGGTTGCCAGCAAAAGGAACAGACGATGATGCGAACAAAGAGTTGGTGATGCTACAATTTGCATCTACAAAAAATTTAGGAACGACGATCTGCGAACAAATAGAATGGTTGCCACAAAAAAAAGGAACAGACGATGATGCGAACAAAGAGTTGGTGATGCTACAATTTGCATCTACAAAAAAATTTAGGCGGGCTCTGCTCACATAATAGAATGGTTGCCAGCAAAAGGAACAGACGATGATGCGAACAAAGAGTTGGTGATGCTACAATTTGCATCTACAAAAATTTAGGCGGGCTCTGCTTACATAATAGAATGGTTGCCAGCAAAAGGAACAGACGATGATGCGAACAAAGAGTTGGTGATGTTACAATTTGCATCTACAAATATTTAGGCGGCTCTGCTCACCTAATAGAATGGTTGCCAGCAAAAGGAACAGACGATGATGCGAACAAAGAGTTGGTGATGCTACAATTTGCATCTACAAAAAAATTTAGGCGGCTCTGCTCACATAATAGAATGGTTGCCAGCAAAAGGAACAGACGATGATGCGAATAAAGAGTTGGTGATGCTACAATTTGCATCTACAAAAAATTTAGGCGGGCTCTGCTTACCATAATAGAATGGTTTGCCAGCAAAAGGAACAGACGATGATGCGAACAAAGAGTTGGTGATGCTACAATTTGCATCTACAAAATTTAGGCGGGGGCCTCTGCTCAATTTGCATGTACAAAAACATAATAGAATGGTTGCCAGCAAAAGGAACAGACGATGATGCGAACAAAGAGTTGGTGATGCTACAATTTTGCATGTACAAAAAAAATTTAGCAAAAAAGGAACAGGGATCTGCGAACAAAGAGTTGGTGATGCTTGCATGTACAAAAATAGGCGGGAATGGTTGCCAGCAAAAGGAACAGACGATGATGCGAACAAAGAGTTGGTGATGCCACAATTTGCATCTACAAAAATTTAGGCGGGCTCTTCATACCTAATAGAATGGTTGCCAGCAAAAGGAACAGACGATGATGCGAACAAAGAGTTGGTGATGATACAATTTGCATCTACTAAAAATTTAGGCGGGCTCTTCTCACATAATAGAATGGTTGCCAGCAAAAGGAACAGACGATGATGCGAACAAAAGTTGGTGATGCTACAATTTGCATCTACAAAAAAATTTAGGCGGGCTCTCCTTACATAATAGAATGGTTGCCAGCAAAAGAAAACAGACGATGATGCGAACAAAGAGTTGGTGATGCTACAATTTGCATGCTTACATATAGAAATGGTTGCCAGCAAAAGGAACAGACGATGATGCAAAAATTTAGGCGGGCTCTGCTTACATAATAGAATGTTTGCCAGCCAAAAGGAACAGACGATGATGCGAACAAAGAGTTGGTGATGCTACAAATTTGCATCTACAAAAAAATTTAGGCGAACAAAGGGCTCAATTTGCTTACATAATAGAATGGTTGCCAGCAAAAGGAACAGACGATGATGCGAACAAAGAGTTGGTGATGCTACAATTTGCATCTACAAAAATTTAGGCGGGCTCTGCTTACATAATAGAATGGTTGCCAGCAAAAGGAACAGACGATGATGCGACAAAAGAGTTGGTGATGCTACAATTTGCTACAAAAATTTAAACAGAATTGCCAGCAAAAGGAACAGACGATGATCAAAGAGTTGGTATTTGCATCTACAAAAATTTAGGCGGGCTCTGCTTACATAATAGGAATGGTTGCCAAAGAACAGACGAAAGGAACAGACGATGATGCGAACAAAGCCAGCAAAGTTGGATGATACAATTTACATCTACAAAAATTTAGGCGGGCTCTTCATACATAATAGAATGGTTGCCAGCAAAAAAGGAACAGACGATGATGCGAACAAAAAGAGTTGGTGATGCTACAATTTGCATCTACAAAAATTTAGGCGGCTCTGAGGCGAACAAAAGAGTTGGTAATAGAATGGTTGCCAGCAAAAGCAAAAAACAGACGATGATGCGAACAAAGAGTTGGTGATGCTACAATTTGCATCTACAAAAATTTAGGCGGGCTCTGCTTACATAATAGAATGGTTGCCAGCAAAAGGAACAGACGATGATGCGAACAAAGAGTTGGTGATGCTACAATTTGCATCTACAAAAAAAATTTAGAATGGGCTCTTCTGGTGATGCTAAGTACCTAATAAAATGGTTGCCAGCAAAAGGAAAGACGATGATGCGAACAAAGAGTTGGTGATGCTACAATTTGCATCTACAAAAAATTTAGGCGGGCTCTGCATACATAATAGAATGGTTGCCAGCAAAAGGAACAGACGATGATGCGAACAAAAGAGTTGGTGATGCTACAATTTGCATCTACAAAAATTTAGGCGGGCTCTTCATACATAATAGAATGGTTGCCAGCAAAAGGAACAGATGCGAACAATGAGTTGGTGATGCTACAATTTGCATCTACAAAAATTTTAGGCGGGCTCTTCTTTAATTAATAGAATGGTTGCCAGCAAAAGGAACAGACGATGATGCGAACAAAGAGTTGGTGATGCTACAATTTGCATCTACAAAATTTAGGCGGGCTCTTCTCATAATAGAACAGCAAAAGAACAGACGATGATGCGAACAAAGAGTTGGTGATGCTACAATTTTGCATCTACAAAAAATTTAGGCGGCTTCATTACCTAATAGAATGGTTGCCAGCAAAAGGAACAGACGATGATGCGAACAAAAGAGTTGGTGATGCTACAATTTGCATCTACAAAAATTTAGGCGGGCTCTGCTTACATAATAGAATGGTTGCCAGCAAAAGGAACAGACGATGATGCGAACAAAGAGTTGGTGATGCTACAATTTGCATCTACAAAAATTTAGGCGGGCTCTTCTCACCTAATAGAATGGTTGCCAGCAAAAGGAACAGACGATGATGCGAACAAAGAGTTGGTGATGCTACAATTTGCATGTACAAAAATTTAGGCGGGCTCTGCTTACATAATAGAATGGTTGCCAGCAAAAGGAACAGACGATGATGCGAACAAAGAGTTGGTGATGCTACAATTTGCATCTACAAAAAATTTAGGGCGGGCTCTGCTTACATAATAGAATGGTTGCCAAAAAAAAAGGAACAGACGATGATGCGAACAAAGAGTTGGTGATGCTACAATTTGCATCTACAAAAATTTAGGCGGGCTCTGCTTACCTAATAGAATGGTTGCCAGCAAAAGGAACAGATGATGATGCGAACAAAGAGTTGGTGATGCTACAATTTGCATCTACAAAAATTTAGGGCGGGCTCTTCACACTTAATAGAATGGTTGCCATTAAAAGGAACAGACGATGATGCGAACAAAAGAGTTGGTGATGCTACAATTTGCATCTACAAAAAAATTTAGGCGGGCTCTGCTTACATAATAGAATGGTTGCCAGCAAAAGGAACAGACGATGATGCGAACAAAGAGTTGGTGATGCTACAATTTGCATGTACAAAAAATTTAGAATGGGCAGCAAAAGGAACAGACGATGATGCGAACAAAGAGTTGGTGATGCTATAATAGTACAAAAAATTTAGGGTTGCCTAATAGAATGGTTGCAAAAGGAACAGACGATGATGCGAACAAAGAGTTGGTGATGCTACAATCAAAATTGCATCTACAAAAATTTAGATGGCTCTTCTGACCACAAAATTTAGTGGGGCTAATACAATTTTGCCAGCAAAAGGAACAGACGATGATGCGAAAAAGAGTTGGTGATGCTACAATTTGCATCTACAAAATTTAGGCGGGCTCTTCCTTAAATAATAGAATGGTTGCCAGCAAAAGGAACAGACGATGAGGCGAACAAAGTGTTGGTGATGCTACAATTTGCATGTACAAAAATTTAGGCGGGCTCTGCTTACATAATAGAATGGTTGCCAGCAAAAGGAACAGACGATGATGCGAACAAAGAGTTGGTGATGCTACAATTTGCATCTACAAAAATTTAGGCGGGCTCTGCTTACATAATAGAATGGTTGCCAGCAAAAGAACAGACGATGATGCGAACAAAGAGTTGGTGATGCTACAATTTGCATCTAAAAAAATTTAGGGTGGGCTCTGCTCACCTAATAGAATGGTTGAGCAAAAGGAACAGACGATGATGCGAACAAAGAGTTGGTGATGCTACAATTTGCATCTACAAAAAATTTAGGCGGGCTCTTCCACATAATAGAATGGCTGCTTAAAAGGAACAGACGATGATGCGAAAAAGAGTTGGTGATGCTACAATTTGCATCTACAAAAATTTAGGCGGGGGTTGCCTAATACAATGGTTGCCAGCAAAAGGAACAGACGATGATGCGAACAAAGAGTTGGTGATGCTACAATTTGCATCTACAAAATTTAAGTGGGCTCTTCTCACATAATAGAATGGTTGCCAGCAAAAGGAACAGACGATGATGCGAACAAAGAGTTGGTGATGCTACAATTTGCATCTACAAAAAATTTAGGCGGGCTCTTCTCACATAATAGAATGGTTGCCAGCAAAAGGAACAGACGATGATGCGAACAAAGAGTTGGTGATGCTACAATTTGCATCTACAAAAATTTAGGCGGGCTCTGCTTACATAATAGAATGGTTGCCAGCAAAAGGAACAGACGATGATGCGAACAAAGAGTTGGTGATGCTACAATTTGCATCTACAAAAATTTAGGCGGGCTCTTCATACCTAATACAATGGTTGCCAGCCAAAGGAACAGACGATGATGCGAACAAAGAGTTGGTGATGCTACAATTTGCATCTACAAAAATTTAGGCGGGCTCTTCTCACCTAATAGAATGGTTGCCATTAAAAGGAACAGACGATGAGGCGAACAAAGAGTTGGTGATGCTACAATTTGCATCTACAAAAGACGATGATGGAACGGATGCTACAATTTGCATCTACCAAAAATTTAGGCGGGCTCTTAATAGAATGGTTTGCCAGCAAAAGGAACAGACGATGATGCGAACAAAGAGTTGGTGATGCTACAATTTGCATCTACAAAAAATTTAGGCGGGCTCTGCTTACATAATAGAATGGTTGCCAGCAAAAGGAACAGACGATGATGCGAACAAAGAGTTGGTGATGCTACAATTTGCATCTAAAAAAATTTAGGCGGGCTCTGCTTACATAATAGAATGGTTGCCAAAAAAGGAACAGACGATGATGCGAACAAAGAGTTGGTGATGCTACAATTTGCATCTACAAAAATTTGGGTGGGGCTCTGGCGGCCTCGATGATGCGAACTGATACAAACCATAATTTAGAATGGTTGCCAGCAAAAGGAACAGACGATGATGCGAACAAAGAGTTGGTGATGCTACAATTTGCATCTACAAAAATTTAGGCGGGCTCTGCTTACATAATAGAATGGTTGCCAGCAAAGGAACAGACGATGAGGCGAACAAAGAGTTGGTGATGCTACAATTTGCATATTACCAAAAATTTAGGCGGGCTCTTCATTACATAATAGAATGGTTGCCAGCAAAGGAACAGACGATGATGCGAACAAAGAGTTGGTGATGCTACAATTTGCATTTACAAAAATTTAGGCGGGCTCTTTCTTACATAATAGAATGGTTGCCAGCAAAAGGAACAGACGATGATGAGAACAAAGAGTTGGTGATGCTACAATTTGCATCTACAAAAATTTAGGCGGGCTCTGCTTACATAATAGAAATGGTTGCCAGCCAAAGGAACAGACGATGATGCGAACAAAGAGTTGGTGATGCTACAATTTGCATCTACAAAAATTTAGGCGGGCTCTTCTCACATAATAGAATGGTTGCCAGCAAAAGGAACAGACGATGATGCGAACAAAGAGTTGGTGATGCTACAATTTGCATCTACAAAAAAATTTAGGCGGCTCTCTGCTCACATAATAGAATGGTTGCCAGCAAAGGGAACAGACGATGATGAACAAAGAGTTGGTGATGCTACAATTTGCATCTACAAAAATTTAGGCGGGCTCTTCTTACATAATAGAATGGTTGCCAGCAAAAGGAACAGACGATGATGCGAACAAAGAGTTGATGATGCTACAATTTGCATCTACATAACAGGGTGGTTGCCAGCAAAAAAAAATTTGGTTGCCACCTAAAAAGGCGGACATGCGAACAAAGAGTTGGTGATGCTACAATTTGCATAATAAAATTTAGGGCGGTTGCTTACATAATAGAATGGTTGCCAGCAAAAGGAACAGACGATGATGCGAACAAAGAGTTGGTGATGCTACAATTTGCATCTACAAAAATTAGGCGGGCTCTTCTCACCTAATAGAATGTACAGCAAAGGAAAGACGATGATGCGAACAAAGATTTGCGGATGCTACAATTTGCATCTAAAAATTTAGGCGAATCTTCTCCCCTAATAAATGGTTGCCAGCAAAAGGAACAGACGATGATGCGAACAAAAGAGTTGGTGATGCTACAATTTGCATGTACAAAAATTTAGGCGGGCTCTGCTTACATAATAGAATGGTTGCCAGCAAAAGGAACAGACGATGATGCGAACAAAGAGTTGGTGATGATACAATTTGCATCTACAAAAAATTTAGGGCGGGCTCTTCTTACATAATACAATGGTTGCCAGCCAAAGGAACGAACGATGATGCGAACAAAGAGTTGATGATGCTACAATTTGCATCTACAAAATTTAGGCGGGCTCTGCTTTTAGAAGGTTGCCAGCAAAAAAGGAACAGACGATGCGAACAAAGAATGGTTGCCAGCAAAAAATTTAGGCTCACCTAATAAATGGTTGCCAGCAAAAGGAACAGACGATGATGCGAAAAAAGAGTTGGTGGATGCTACAATTTGCATCTGCATCTACAAAAATTTAGGGACGGGCTTGGTGATTACATTTGCAATAGAATAGGCGGGCTTTGCGTTGCCAGCAAAAGGAACAGACGATGATGCGAACAAAGAGTTGGTGATGCTACAATTTGCATCTACAAAAATTTAGGCGCTTCTGCTCACGTAATAGAATGGTTGCCAGCAAAAGGAACAAACGATGATGCGAACAAAGAGTTGGTGATGCTACAATTTGCATCTACAAAAATTTAGGCGGGCTCTTCTCACCTAATAGAATGGTTGCCAGCAAAAGGAACAGACGATGATGAGAACAAAGAGTTGGTGATGCTACAATTTGCATCTACAAAAATTTAGGCGGCTCTTTACATAACAGAATGGTTGCCAGCAAAAAGGAACAGACGATGATGCGAACAAAGAGTTGGTGATGCTACAATTTGCATGTACAAAAATTTAGGCGGGCTCTTCTCACCTAATAGAATGGTTGCCAGCAAAAGAAACAGATGATGATGCGAACAAAGAGTTGGTGATACTTTACAATTTGTAAAAATTTGCTCTTCATACCAAAATTTGCATCTACAAAAATTTGCCAAATAAAAAGGCGCTTCTATTTGCTAAGGCGGGCATAATAGAATTTTGCCTGCAAAAGGAACAGACGATGATGCGAACAAAGAGTTGGTGATGCTACAATTTGCATCTATAAAAAATTTAGGCGGGCTCTTCTCACATAATAGAATGGTTGCCAGCAAAAGGAACAGACGATGATGCGAACAAAGAGTTGGTGATGCTACAATTTGCATCTACAAAATTTAGGCGGGCTCTGCTCACCTAATAGAATGGTTGCCAGCAAAAGGAACAGACGATGAGGCGAACAAAGAGTGGTGAAACAATTTGCATGAGGCGGGCTCTGCTTACCATAATACAATGCCAGCGAACAGAAAGAACAAAGTTGGTGATGCTACAATTTGCATCTACAAAAATTTAGGTGGGCTTTCATACATAATAGAATGGTTGCCAGCAAAAGAACAGACGATGATGCGAACAAAGAGTTGGTGATGCTACAATTTGCATCTACAAAAAAATGATTAAAGGCTGGTGGCTACACCCAGACCACAAAAATTTTCACCTAATAGAATGGTTGCTGGGCAAAAGGAACAGACGATGATGCGAACAAAGTGTTGGTGATGCTACAATTTGCATGTACAAAATTTAGGGCGGGCTCTACTTTACATAATAGAATGTTTGCCTGCAAAAGGAACAGACGATGAATGCCAGCAAAGAAAGAGATGATGGTGATGCGGATGTAATTTGCATCTACAAAAAATTTAGGCGGGCTCTGCTTTCATATAATAGAATGGTTACCAGCAAAGGAACAGATGATGATGCGAACAAAGAGTTGGTGATGCTACATTTGCATGCTACCTAATAGAATGGTTGCTACCAAAGGAACAGATGACATAACAAAGAGTTGGTGGCTCTTCGGCCATACCTAATACAATGGTTGCCAGCCAAAGGAACAGACAATGATGCAAACAAAGAGTTGATGATAATGCCACAAAATTTAGGGCATCTACAAAGGACGATTGCGAACAAAGAGTTGGTGGATGCTCTTCATGTACAAAAAATTTAGGCGGGCTCTGCTTACATAATAGAATGGTTGCCAGCAAATGAAAAGGAACGAGACGATGATGCTACAATCTGCATGTACCAAAAGTTGGCGGATGCTCACCTAATAGAATGGTTATGATGATGCGAAAAAATTTGATGCCAACCAGACCACAAAATCTAGGCGGCTCCCACATAATACAATGGTTGCCAGCAAAAGGAACAGACGATGATGCGACAAAGAGTTGGTGATGCTACAATTTGCATCTAAAAAATTTAGGCGGGCTCTGCTTACCATAATAGAATGGTTGCCAGCAAAAGGAACAGACGATGATGCGAACAAAAGAGTTGGATGATGCTACAAAAATTTGCATCTACAAAAAATTTAGATTTGATGATGAGCTCTACAAAATTTACTTAATAGAATGGTTGCCAGCAAAAGGAACAGACGATGAGGCGAACAAAGGGTTGGTGATGCTGAGTTTGCATCTACAAAAATTTAAACGGGCTCTTCTTACATAATAGAACACCAGCAAAAAGGAACGAACGATGATGCGAACAAAAGAGTTGGTGATGCTGCTAAGTTGCATCTGTACAAAATTTAGGCGGCTCTGCTTACATAATACAATGGTTTACAGCCAAAGGGACGATATGCGAACAGTTGGTGATGCTTTTGCATCTACAAAAAGGCTTACATAACGATGATGCGAACAACGATGAGTTGGAATAGATGCAGGGGATACAATTTGCATCTACAAAAATTTAGGGCGGGCTCTTCTTACCTAATAGAATGGTTGCCAGCAAAAGGAACAGACGATGATGCGAACAAAAGAGTTGGTGATGCTACAATTTGCATCTACAAAAAATTTAGGCGGGGCTCTGCTCACCTAAAAAAGGAAATGACGATTGCGAACAAAAAGTTGATGCTACAATTTGCATCTAGTTGGCGATTTAATTTGCATCTACAAAAAAATTGAGGCTCTGCTTTCACCTAATAGAATGGTTGCCAGCAAAGGGACAGACGATGATGCGAACAAAGAGTTGGTGATGCTACAATTTGCATCTACAAAAAATTGAGGCGGGCTCTCTTCATACTAATACAATGGTTGCCAGCAAAAAAGGAACAGACGATGATGTGAACAAAAGAGTTGATGATGCCACAATTTGTCTCAAAAAAATTTAGGCGACTCTTCTCACGTAATAGAATGGTTGCCAGCAAAAGGAACAAACGATGATGCGAACAAAGAGTTGGTGGATGATTACAATTTGCATCTACAAAAATTTAGGCGGGCTCTTCTCACATAATAGAATGGTTGCCAGCAAAAGAACGAACGATGATGCGAACAAAGAGTTGGTGATGCTACAATTTGCATCTACAAAAATTTAGGCGGGCTCTGCTTACATAATAGAATGGTTGCCAGCAAAAGGAACAGACGATGATGCGAACAAAGAGTTGGTGATGCTACAATTTGCATCTACAAAAATTTAGGCGGGCTCTGCTTACATAATAGAATGGTTGCCATTAAAAGGAACAGACGATGAGGCGAACAAAGTGTTGGTGATGCTACAATTTGCATCTACAAAAATTTAGGCGGGCTCTGCTTACATAACAGAATGGTTGCCAGCAAAAGGAACAGACGATGATGCGAACAAAGAGTTGGTGATGCTACAATTTGCATCTACAAAAATTTAGGCGGCCTGCTGCAGACATAATAGAATGCTTGCCAGCAAAAGGAACAGACGATGATGCGAACAAGAGTTGGTGATGCTACAATTTGCATCTACAAAATTTAGGCGGGCTCTTCTCACCTAATAGAATGGTTGCCAGCAAAAGGAACAGACGATGATGAGAACAAAAGTTGGTGATGCTACAATTTGCATCTACAAAATTTAGGCGGGCTCTGCTTACATAATAGAATGGTTGCCAAATAAAAAAAGGAACAGACGATGATGCGAACAAAAAGAGTTGGTGATGCTACAATTTGCATGTACAAAAAATTTTAGGCGGGCTCTGCTTACATTAACAGAATGGTTGCCAGCAAAAGGAACAGACGATGATGCGAACAAAAGAGTTGGTGATGCTGGCTAATTGCATGTACAAAAATTTAGGCGGGCTCTGCTCACATAATAGAATGGTTGCCAACAAAAAAGGAAATTCAGACGATGATGCGAACAAAGAGTTGGTGATGTTACAATTTGCATTACAAAAATTTAGGCATTTTCTTGCATAATAGAATGGTTGCCAGCCAAAGGAACAGACGATGATGCGAACAAAGAGTTGGTGATGCTACAATTTGCATCTACAAAATTAAGGCGACTCTTCATACCTAATAGAAATGTTTGCCAGCAAAGGAACAGACGATGATGCGAACAAAGATTTGATGATGCTACAATTTGCATCTACAAAAATTTAGGTGGCTCTTCTCATATAATAGAATGTTTGCCAGCAAAAGGAACAGACGATGGGGCGAACAAAGTGTTGGTGATGCTACAATTTGCAAAAATTTAGGCGGGCTCTGCTTACAATAGAATGGTTGCCACAAAAGGAAAAATTTAGGCGGAATTTGGTATGTACTAAAATTTAGGCTGCTTACATAATAGAATGGTTGCCAGCCAAAAGGAACAGACGATGATGCGAACAAAGAGTTGGTGATGCTACAATTTGCATGTACAAAAAAATTTAGGCGGGCTCTGCTTACATAATAGAATGGTTGCCAACAAAAAGGAACAGACGATGATGCGAACAAAGAGTTGGTGATGCTACAATTTGCATCTACAAAAATTTGGGCGGGCTCTGCTTACATAATAGAATGGTTGCCAGCAAAAAGGAACAGACGATGATGCGAACAAAGAGTTGGTGATGCTACAATTTGCAAAACAAAAATTTAGGGCGGCTCTTCTCACCTAATAGAATGGTTGCCAGCAAAGAAACAGATGATGATGCGAACAAAGAGTTGGTGATGCTACAATTTGCATACAAAAATTTAGGCGGGCTCTGCTTACATAATAGAATGGTTGCCAACAAAAGGAACAGGCGATGATGCGAACAAAGAGTTGGTGATGCTACCAAATTTGCATGTACAAAAAATTTAGGCGGGGTCTGCTTACACAATGAGAATGGTTAAAGCAGCAAAAATGAAATGACGAATGGTTGCCAGCAAAAGGAACGAACAAAGAGTTGGTGATGCTACAATTTGCATCTACAAAAAATTTAGGCGGGCTCTGCTCACCTAATAGAATGGTTGCCACAAAAAGAAACAGACGATGATGCGAACAAAGAGTTGGTGATGCTACAATTTGGCATCTACAAAAATTTAGGCGGGCTCTTCTCACCTAATACAATGGTTGCCAGCTAAAAAAGGAACAGACGATGATGCAAACAAAGAGTTGATGATGCTACAATTTGCATCTACAAAAATTTAGGTGGGCTCTTCATACATAATAGAATGGTTGCCAACAAATGGAAACAGACGATGATGCGAACAAAAGAGTTGGTGATGCCACAATTTGCATGTACAAAAAATTTAGGCGGGCTCTGCTTACATAATAGAATGGTTGCCAAGCAAAATGAACAGACGATGATGCGAACAAAAAAGTTGGTGATGCTGCAATTTGCATGTACAAAAATTTAGGCGGGCTCTGCTTCACCTCCTAATAGAATGATTTGCCAGCAAAAGGAACAGACGATGATGCGAAAAAAGTGTTGGTGATGCTACAATCTGCATCTACAAAAATTTGGGCGGCCTCTGCATACCTAATAGAATGGTTGCCAGCCAAAGGAATGACGATGATGCAAAAAAATTATTTGGTGATGCTACAATTTGCATCTACAAAAAATTTAGGCGGGCTCTTCTCACATAATAGAATGGTTGCCAGCAAAAGGAACAGACGATGATGCGAACAAAGAGTTGGTGATGCTACACCCAGACATTAAAATTTGCATCTACAAAAATTTAGGAACAGGACGGGCTCTACAATTTGCTTACAAAATAGAATGTTTGCCAGCAAAAGGAACAGACGATGATGCGAACAAAGAGTTGGTGATGCTACAATTTGCATCTACAAAAAATTTAGGCGGGCTCTTCTTACATAATAGAATGGTTGCCAGCAAAAGAACGAACGACGATGATGCGAACAAAGAGTTGGTGATGCTACAATTTTGCATCTACAAAAAAATTTAGGCGGGCAAAAAACTAATAATACAATGGTTGCCAACAAAGAGTTGGTGGAACAGATGATGATGCGAACAAAGAATGGTTGTTGAACAGACGATGCGAACAAATTTGCATCTACAAACAAAATTTAGGCGGGCTCTGCTTACCTAATAGAATAGTTGCCATTAAAAGGAACAGACGATGAGGCGAAGACAAAGTGTTGGTGATGCTACAATTTGCATCTACAAAAATTTAGGCGAGCTCTGCACTTCCACACTAACAGAATAGTTTGTAGCAAAGACAAGACGATGATGCAGACTGAGAGTTGGTGATGCTACAATTTGCATCTACAAAAATTTAGGCAGGCTCTGCTTACATAATAGGGAATGATTCCTTATGGGGTTGAACGATGATGCGAACAAAAGTTGGTGATGCTACAATTTGCATCTACAAAAAATTTGACGGGCTCTGTACTTACATAGAATGGTTGCCAGCAAAGGAACGGACGATGATGCGAACAAAGTTGTTGATACTGGTTGCATCTACAAAAATTTAGGCGCTTCTGCTCACGTAATAGAATAGTTTACAACGAAAGAACAAAAACGATAGTGCGAACAAAGAGTTGGTGATGCCCATTCCCATCTAAAAAATTTGAAATGACTCTTCTCACCTAATAGAATGGACTTCCAGCAAAAGAACAGACGATGATGAGAACAAAGAGTTGGTGATGCTATGATTGCATGTACAAAAATTTGGGCTCTGCTTACACACACGTAGAATGGTTGCCAGCAAAAGGAATAGACGATTGAACAAAGTGATGCTACAATTTGCATCTACAAAAAAATTTAGGCGGGCTCTGCTTACATAATAGAATGGTTGAACAGAAGATGATGCGAGCAAAAAGGAACAGACGATTAGGCGGGAACAAAAATGGTTGCAGCAAAAAGAATGACGATGATACTGATGCTAAATTTGCATCTACAAAAATTTAGGCGGGCTCTGCTCACCTAATAGAATGGTTGCCAGCAAAAGGAACAGACGATGATGCGAACAAAGAGTTGGTGATGCTACAATTTGCATCTACAAAAATTTAGGCGGGCTCTGCTTACTAATACAATGGTTGCCAGCAAAAGGAACGAACGATGATGCGAACAAAAGTTGGTGATGCTACAATTTGCATCTACAAAAATTTAGGGCGGGCTCTGCAAAAATTTACATAATAGAATGGTTGCCAACAAAAAGGAACAGACGATGATGCGAACAAAAGTTGGTGATACAATTTGCATCTACAAAAATTTTAGGCGGCTCTGCTTACATAATAGAATGGTTGCCAGCAAAAGGAACAGACGATGATGCGAACAAAAGTTGGTGATGTTACAATTGCATCTACAAAAAATTTAGGCAGGCTCTGCTTACCATAATAGAATGTTTGCCAGCAAAAGGAACAGACGATGATGCGAACAAAGAGTTGGTGATGCTACAATTTGCATCTACAAAAAATACCTAATAAATTTAGGAACAGACGATGATGGGCTCTGCTTACAAAAAGGCGGGCTTTCCATAATAGTTTGCCAGCAAAAGGAACAGAACGATGATGCGAACAAAGAGTTGGTGATGCTACAATTTGCATCTACAAAAATTTAGGCGGCTCTGCTACCTAATAGAATGGTTGCCAGCAAAAGGAACAGACGATGATGCGAACAAAGAGTTGGTGATGCTACAATTTGCATCTACAAAAAATTTAGGGGGGCTCTTCTCACATAATAGAATGGTTGCCAGCAAAAGGAACGAACGATGATGCGAACAAAGAGTTGGTGATGCTACAATTTGCATCTACAAAAAAATTTAGGCGGGCTCTACTTTACATAATAGAATAGTTGCCAGCAAAAGGAACAGACGATGATGCGAACAAAGAGTTGGTGATGCTACAATTTGCGAACAAAAATTTAGGCGGGCTCTGCTCACATAATAGAAATGGTTGCCAGCAAAGGAACAGACGATGATGCGAACAAAGTTTGGTGATGCTACAATTTGCATTACAAAATTTAGGCGGTCTCTTCACACCTAATAGAATGGTTGCCACCAAAAAGGAACAGACGATGATGCGAACAAAGAGTTGGTGATGCTACAATTTGCATCTACAAAATTTAAAGGCTCTTTCTTAATAGAATGGTTGCATTAAAAGGAACAGACGATGATGCGAACAAAAGAGTTGATGATGCTACAATTTGCATCTACAAAAAAAATTTAGGCGGTCTGCTTACATAATAGAATGGTTGCCAGCACAAAAGGAACAGACGATGATGCGAACAAAGAGTTGGTGATGCTACAATTTGCATCTACAAAAATTTAGGCGGGCTCTGCTTACATAATACAATGGTTGCCAGCAAAAGGAACAGACGATGATGCGAACAAAGAGTTGGTGATGCTACAATTTGCATCTACAAAAATTTAGGCGGGCTCATAATAGAATGGTTCACGATAATAAACAAATGGTTGCCAGCAAAAAAGGAACAGACGATGATGCGAACAAAGAGTTGGTGATGCTACAATTTGCATCTACAAAAATTTAGGCGGGCTCTTCTCACCTAATAGAATGGTTGCCAGCAAAAGGAACAGACGATGATGCGAACAAAGAGTTGGGCGATGCTACATTTGCATTACAAAAAATTTAGGCGGGCTCTGTTACATAATAGAATGGTTGCTACAATATGCTACAAATCTGTACAAAATTTAGGCGGCTCTTCTTACATAATAGAATGGTTGCCAAAAGGAACAGACGACGATGATGCGAACAAAAGTTGGTGATGCTACAATTTGCATCTACAAAAATTTAGGCGGGCTCTTCTTACATAATAGAATGTTTTGCCAGCAAAAGGAACAGACGATGATGCGAACAAAAGAGTTGGTGATGCTACAATTTGCATCTACAAAAATTTAGGCGGCTCTGCTTACATAATAGAATGGTTGCCAGCAAAAGGAACAGACGATGATGCGAACAAAGAGTTGGTGATGCTACAATTTTTGCATCTACAAAAATTTAGGCGGGCTCTGCGACCTAATAGAATGGTTGCCAGCAAAAGGGAACAGACGATGATGCGAACAAAGAGTTGAACAAAGAGTTGGTGATGCTACAATTTGCATCTACAAAAATTTAGGCGGGGCTCTGCTTGCCACAAAATAATAGAATGGTTGCCAACAAAAAGGGTTCTGCTCACCTATTAGAACAGGAACGATGATGCGAACAAAGAGTTGGTGATGCTACAATTTGCATGTACAAAAATTTAGGCGGGCTCTTCATACCTAATACAATGGTTGCCAGCAAAAGGAACAGACGATGATGCGAACAAAGAGTTGATGATGCTACAATTTGCATCTACAAAATTTAGGAACAAAGATGGGCTCTTCTCACCTAATAGAATGGTTGCCAGCAAAAGGAACGAACGATGATGCGAACAAAAGAGTTGGTGATGCTACAATTTGCATCTACAAAAATTTAGGCGGGCTCTACCTAATAGAATGGTTGCCAGCAAAAGGAACAGACGATGATGCGAACAAAGAGTTGGTGATGCTACAATTTGCATCTACAAAAAATTTAGGCGGGCTCTGCTTACGCATAATAGAATGGTTGCCAGCAAAAGGAACAGACGATGATGCGAACAAAGAGTTGGTGATGATTTGCATCTATAAAAATTTAGGCATCTACAAAAATGGTTGCAAAAAAAGAACAGACGATGATGCGAACAAAGAGTTGGTGATGCTACAATTTTTAATACAAAATTTTCATACCTAATAGAATGGTTGCCAGCAAAAGGAACAGACGATGATGCGAACAAAGAGTTGGTGATGTTACAATTTGCATCTACAAAAATTTAGGCGGGCTCTGCTTACATAATAGAATGGTTGCCAACAAAAGGAACAGACGATGATGCGAACAAAGAGTTGGTGATGCTACAATTTGCATCTACAAAAAATTTAGGCGGGCTCTTCATACATAATAGAATGGTTGCCAGCAAAAGGAACAGACGATGATGCGAACAAAGAGTTGGTGATGCTACAATTTGCATCTACAAAATTTAGGCGGCTCTGCTCACATAATAGAATGGTTGCCAGCAAAAGGAACAGACGATGATGCGAACAAAAGAGTTGGTGATGCTACAATTTGCATCTACAAAAAAATTTAGGCGGGCTCTGCTACATAATAGAATGGTTGCCAGCAAAAGGAACAGACGATGATGCGAACAAAGAGTTGGTGATGCTACAATTTGCATCTACAAAAATTTAGGCGGGCTCTGCTTACATAATAGAATGGTTGCCAGCAAAAGGAACAGACGATGATGCGAACAAAGAGTTGGTGATGCTACAAAATTTAGGCATCTACAAAAATGGTTGCCAGCAAATGAACAGACGATGATGCGCAAAGAGTTCTGATGCTACAATTTGCATCTATAAAATGGCCTTTGCTCAGAATAGAATGGTTGCCAGCAAAAGGAACAGACGATGATGCGAACAAAGAGTTGGTGATGCTACAATTTGCATCTACAAAAAATTTAGGCGGGCTCTTCTTACCTAATAGAATGGTTGCCAGCAAAAGGAACAGACGATGATGCGAACAAAAGAGTTGGTGATGCTACAATTTGCATGTACAAAAAATTTAGGCGGGCTCTTCTCACTTAATAGAATGGTTGCCAGCAAAAGGAACAGACGATGATGCGAACAAAAGAGTTGGTGATGCTACAATTTGCATCTACAAAATTTAGGTGGCGGGCTCTGCTTACATAATAGAATGGTTGCCAGCAAAAGGAACAGACGATGATGCGAACAAAGAGTTGGTGATGCAATTTGCATCTACAAAAATTTAGGCGGGCTCTTCTACACATAATAGAAATTTGCCAAAAAAGGAACAGATGACAATGATGCGAACAAAGAGTTGGTAATGCTACAATTTGCATCTACAAAAAATTTAGGCGGGCTCTTCTACATAATAGAATGGTTTTGCCAGCAAAAGGAACAAACGATGATGCGAACAAAGAGTTGGTGATGCTACAATTTTCTGCATCTACATAAAAATTTGCCAGCCAAAGGAAGGCGGGCTCTTCAAAAATTTACAAGATAATAGAATGGTTGCCAGCAAAAGGAACAGACGATGATGCGAACAAAAGTTGGTGATGCTACAATTTGCATCTACAAAAATTTAGGCGGGCTCTCTGCTACATAATAGAATGGTTGCCAGCAAAAGGAACAGACGATGATGCGAACAAAGAGTTGGTGATGCTACAATTTGCATCTACAAAAATTTAGGCGGGCTCTTCTTACATAACACAATGGTTGCCAGCCAAAAGAACAGACGATGATGCGAACAAAGAGTTGGTTTGCTATTTTAAACAATTTTTAGGCGGCAAAAGGTTGCCAGCAAAGGAAGACGATGATGCGAACAAAGAGTTGGTGATGCTACAATTTTGCATCTACAAAAATTTGAGGCTCTTCTACCTTCATATAGAATGGTTGCCAGCCAAAAGGAACAGACGATGATGCGAACAAAGAGTTGGTGATGCCACAATTACCATCTACAAAAAATTTAGGCGGGCTCTGCTCACATAATAGAATGGTTGCCAGCAAAAAGGAACAGACGATGATGCGAACAAAGAGTTGGTGATGCTACAATTTGCATCTACAAAAATTTAGGCATCTTACATAAAAATGTTTGATGCTACAATTTGCATCTACAAAAATTTAGCGGGCTCTTCTTACATAATAGAATGGTTGCCAGCAAAAAGGAACGGACGATTTCGAACAAAACAGAATGGTTACAAAAAAAAAAGGAACAGACGATGATGGTTGCCAGCAAAAACAAAAGAACAAAAGTTGGTGATGCTACAATTTGCATCTACAAAAAAATTTAGGCGGGCTCTTGCTTACCTAATAGAATGGTTGCCAGCAAAAGGAACAGACGATGATGCGAACAAAGAGTTGGTGATGCTACAATTTGCATCTACAAAAAAATTTAGGCTGCTTACATAATAGAATGGTTGCCAGCAAAAGGAACAGACGATGATGCGAACAAAGAATGGTGATACAAAAAGGATCTACAAAACGAGGATGCTGCTTAATAAAGAATGGTTGCCAGCAAAAAGGAACAGACGATGATGCGAACAAAGAGTTGGTGATTTACAATTTGCATCTAAAAAATTTAGGCGGGCTCTTCTTACCTAATAGAATGGTTGCCAGCAAAAAGGAACAGACGATGATGCGAACAAAGAGTTGGTGATGCTACAATTTGCATCTACAAAATTTTAGGCGGGCCTCTTCATACCTAATACAATGGTTGCCAGCCAAAGAAACAGACGATGATGCGAACAAAGAGTTGATGATACTACAATTTTAATCTACAAAAATTTTTAAGGGCCTCTTCTCACCTAATAGAATATTTGCCAGCAAAGGAACAGACGATGACGCGAACAAAGTGTTGGTGATGCTACAATTTGTACGTACAAAATTTAGGCGGGCTTTCCGCTTACACAGAATGCCAGCAAAAGGAACAGACGATGATGCGAACAAAGAGTTGGTGATGCTACAATTGCATGTACAAAATTTAGGCGGCTCTGCTTACCTAATAGAATGGTTGCCAGCAAAAGGAACGGACGATGATGCGAACAAAGAGTTGGTGATGCTACAATTTGCATGTACAAAAATTTAGGCGGGCTCAGCCATAACAGAATGGTTGCCAACCAAAAGGAACAGACGATGATGCGAACAAAGAGTTGGTGATGCTACAATTTGCATCTACAAAAATTTAGGCGGGCTCTGCTTACATAATAGAATGGTTGCCAGCAAAAGGAAACAGACGATGATGCGAACAAAGAGTTGGTGATGCTACATTTACATCTACACAAAAATTTAGGCGCTCTGCTCACGTAACAGAAATAGTTTGCCAGCAAAAGAAACAAACGATGATGCGAACAAAGAGTTGGTGATGCTACAATTTGCATGTACAAAAATTTAGGCGGTTTCCTTCATACCTAACAATGTTTGCCAGCAAAATGAACAGACAATGAGCGAACAAATGTTGGTGATGCTACAATTTGCATGTACAAAAATTTAGGCGGGCTCTTCACTTAATATGAATGGTTGCTAGCAAAAGGAACGAACGATGATGCGAACAAGAGTTGGTGATGCTACAATTTGCATCTACAAAAATTTAGCGGGCTCTGCTTACATAATGGGAATGGTTGCCAGCAAAAAGGAAATGACGATGAAGAACAAAGAGTTGGTGATACTACAATTTGCATGTACAAAATTTGCAGTCTCACATAATAGAATGGTTGCTAACAACAGGAAATGTTGGGACAAAGGTTGGGCTACAATTTTCATGTACAATAATTTAGGCAAGGTTCTGCTCAGCCAAATGGTTGGACAGGAACAGATGATGAGGCGAACAAAGAGTTATTGATGCTACAATTTGCATCTACAAAAATTTAGGCGGGCTCTTCTCACTTAATAGAATGGTTGCCAGCAAAAGGAACAGACGATGATGCGAACAAAGAGTTGGTGATGCTACAATTTGCATGTACAAAAAAATTGAGGCGGGCTCTGCTTACATAATAGAATGATTTGCCAACCAAAAGGAAACAGAAGATGATGCAACAAAGAGTTGGTGGATACTACAATTTGCATCTACAAAAATTTAAAAGGGCTTCTTGCCTAATAGAATGGTTGCAAGCCAAAGGAACAGACGATGATGCGGAACAAAGAGTTGTGATGCTAAAATTTGCATCTACAAAAATTTAGGCGGGCTCTTCTTACATAATAGAATGTTTGCCATTAAAAGAACAGACGATGATGCGAACAAAAGAGTTGGTGGCTACAATTTGCATGTGCAAAAATTGGTGAAATCTACAAAACAGAAAGATGATGCGAACAAAAGCGGATGCTACAATTTGCATCTTACTCTTCACCTAACAGAATGGTTTGCAAACAAAAGGAACAGACGATGATGCGAACAAAGAGTTGGTGATGCTAAAATTTGCATCTACAAAAATTTAGGCGGGCTCTTCTTTGCTTACATAGAACAGACGATGGTTGGTGATGCTACAATTTGCATCACGGGCTCTGCAAAAGGAACAGACGATGATGCGAACAAAGAGTTGGTGATGCTACAACAAAAATTTGCTTGAATGTTTCTACAAACAGACGATAGGTGGATGCTACAATTTTCATGTGTATTTTAAAAATTTAGGCGGGCTCCTAATACAATGGTTGCCCTTAAAAGGAACAGACGATGATGCGAACAAAAGAGTTGGTGATGTTACAATTTGCATCTACAAAAATTTAGGCGGGCTCTCATACCTAATACAATGGTTGCCAGCCAAATGAACAGACGATGATGCGAACAAAGAGTTGATGATACTACAATTTGCATCCACAAAATTTTGGGCTCTTCTCACCTAATAAAACGGTTGCCAGCAAAAGGAACGAATAGACGATGACGAACAGAAAAAGTTTGGTGATGCTACAATTTGCATCTACAAAATTTTAGGGCGGCTCTGCTTACATAATAGAATGGTTGCCAGCAAAAGGAAATGACGATGATGCGAACAAAGAGTTGGTGGATACAATTTGCATGTACAACAAAATTTAGGCGGGCTCTTCTTACATAATAGAATGGTTGCCAGCAAAAGAAACAGACGATGATGCGAACAAAGAGTTAGATGCTACAATTGCATGCAAAATTTAGGCGGGCCTGCTTACATAGGTTAGGCCGTTTTATAACAAAAGAACAGACGATGATGCGAACAAAGAGTTGGTGATGCTACAATTTGCATCTACAAAAATTTAGGGCGGGCTCTGCTTACATAATAGAATGGTTGCCAGCAAAAGGAACGAACGATGATGCGAACAAAGAGTTGGTGATGCTACAATTTGCATCTACAAAAAATTTAGGCCTTCTGCTCACGTAATAGAATGGTTGCCAGCAAAAGGAACAAACGATGATGCGGAACAAAAGAGTTGGTGATGCCTGATTTGCATCTACAAAAAATTTAGGCGGGCTCTTCTTACCCTAATAGAATGGTTGCCAGCCAAAGGAACAACGATGATGTGTGAACAAAAGAGTTGGTAATGCTACAATTTGCATCTATAAAAATTTAGGCGGGCTCTTCTCACATAATAGAATGGTTGCTACAAAAGGAACAGACGACATGTGCGAACAAAAGAGTTGGTGATGCTACAATTTGCATCTACAAAAATTTAGGCGGGCTCTGCTTACATAATAGAATGGTTGCCATTAAAAGGAAACAGACGATGAGGCGAACAAAGTTGGTGATGCTACAATTTGCATCTACAAAAATTTAGGCGGGCTCTTCCTTACCTAATAGAATAGTTTGCCAGCAAAAGGAAACAGACGATGATGCGAACAAAGAGTTGGTAATGCTACAATTTGCATCTACAAAAAATTTAGGCGGCTCTTCTCACTTAATAAGTGTATGCCAGCAAAAAGGAACAGACGATGATGCGAACAAAGTTGATGCTGCAATTTGCATCTACAAAAATTTAGGCCGGGCTCTGCTTACATAATAGAATGGTTGCCAGCAAAAGGAACGAACGAGATGCGAACCTGGTTGCATCCAAAATGATGCATAATAGAAAGCAAAAGAGACGATAATGCGAACAAAAGTTGGTGATGCTACAATTTGCATCTACAAAAATTGGAAGCGGGCTCTTCTCACATAATAGAATGGTTGCCGCAAAGGGAACAGACGATGATGCGAACAAAGTGTTGGTGATGCTACAATTTGCATCTACAAAACTTAGGCGGGCTCTGCTTACATAACAGAACGGTTGCCAGCAAAGGAAGCGACGATGATGCGAACAAAGAGTTGGTGATTTTTCAATTTGCATCTAAAAAATTGAGGCGTGGCTCTTCATACCTAATATAATGGTTGCCAGCAAAAGGAACAGACGATGATGCGAACAAGAGTTGGTGATGCTACAATTTTGCATCTACAAAAAATTAGGCAGGCTCACTTAATAGAATGGTTGCCAGCAAAAGGAACAGACAATGATGCGAACAAAGAGTTGGTAATGCTACAATTGCATCTACAAAAAATTGCGGCGGGCTCTTTACTTAATAGAATGGTTGCCAGCAAAATGAACAGACGATGATGAACAAAGAGTTGGTGATGCTACAATTTGCATCTACAAAAAATATAGGCGGGCTCTGCTTACATAATAGAATGGTTGCCAGCAAAAAGGAACAGACGATGATGCAGACAAAGAGTTGGATGCTACAATTTGCATCTACAAAAATTTAGGCGGGCTCTTCATACCTTGTTGCCAGCCAAAAGGAACGAAATAATGCGAAGTTGGTGATGCTACAATTGCAGCAAAAGGAAATAGACGATGGTTGCCAGCAAAAGAAACGAACGATTGAGTTGGTGATGCTACAATTTGCATCTACAAAAAAATTTAGGCGGGCTGCTTTACATAATACAGAATAGGTTGCCAGCAAAAGGAACAGATGATGAACAAAGAGTTGGTGATGCTACAATTTGCATCTACAAAAATTTAGGCAGGCTCTGCTTACATAATAGAATGGTTGCCAGCAAAGTGAACGGACAATGATGCGAACAAAGAGTTGGTGATGCTGATTTGCATCTACAAAAATTTAGGCGGCTCTGCTTACATAATAGAATGGTTGCCAGCAAAGGAACAGACGATGATGCGAACAAAGAGTTGGTGATGTTACAATTTGCATCTACAAAAATTTAGGCGGGCTCACCCTAATAGAATGGTTGTAGCAAAGGAACAGACGATGATGCGAACAAAGAGTTGGCGATGCTACAATTGCACAAAAATTTAGGCGGGCTCTGCTTACATAATAGAATGGTTGCCAAGCAAAAGGAACAGACGATGATGCGAACAAAAAGAGTTGGTGATGCCACAATTTGCATCTACAAAAAAATAGGCGGCTCTGCTTACATAATAGAATGGTTGCCATTAAAGGAAAACAGACGATGAGGCGAACAAAGTGTTGGCGGATGCTACAATTTGCATCTACAAAAACTTAGGCCGGGCTCTGCTTACATAACAGAATGGTTTGCCAGCAAAAGGAAACAGACGATGATGCGAACAAAGAGTTGGTGATGCTGCAATTTGCATCTACAAAAAATTTAGTGGGCTCTGCTTACATAATAGAATGGTTTACAGCAAAGGAACAGACGATGATGCGAACAAAAGTTGGTGATGCTACAATTTGCATCTACAAATAAAATTTAGGCGGGCTCTTCATACCTAATACAATGGTTTGCCAGCAAAGGAACAGACAGCCAATGCGAACAAAGAGTTGGTAATGCTACAATTTGCATCTACAAAAATTTAGGCGGGCTCTTCTCACTTAATAGAATGGTTGCCAGCAAAAGAAAGAACGATGATGCGAACAAAGAGTTGGTGATGCTACAATTTGCATCAAAAAAATTTAGGCGGGCTCTGCTTACATAATAGAATGGTTGCCAGCAAAAGGAACAGACGATGATGCGAACAAAGTTAGTGATGCCACAATTTGCATCTACAAAAATTTAGGCAGGCTCTTCTCTAATAATGGGGCGTTTGCCAGCCAAAGGAACGAACGATGATGCGAACAAAAGGTTGGTGATGCTACAAAATTTGCATCTACAAAAAATTTAGGCGGGCTCTTCTCACTTAATAGAGATGTTTTGCCAGCAAAAGGAACGAACGATGATGCGAACAAGAGTTGGTGATGTTGATTTGCATCTACAATTTAGGCGGGCTCTGCTTACATAATAGAATGGTTGCCTGCAAAAGGAACAGACGATGATGCGAACAAAGAGTTGGTGATGCTACAATTTGCATCTACAAAAAATTTAGGCAGGCTCTGCTTACATAATAGAAATGTTTGCCAGCAAAAGGAACAGACGATGATGCGAACAAAGAGTTGGTGATGCTACAATTTGCATCTACAAAGCTCTGCTTAGGAATGATTTGCAGCAAAAGGAACGATGATGCGAACAAAAGGTTGGTGATTCTCACCTAATAGAATGGTTGCCAGCAAAAGGAACAGACGATGATGCTAACAAAGAGTTGGTGATGCTACAATTTGCATCTACCAAAATTTAGGCGGGCTCTGCATACCTAATACAATGGTTGCCAGCCAAAGGAACAGACGATGATGCGAACAAAAGAGTTGGTGATGCTACAATTTGCATCTACAAAATTTTAGGCGGCTCTTCTACATAATAGAATGGTTGCCATTAAAAGGAAACAGACGATGAGGCGAACAAAGAGTTGGTGATGCTAACAATTTGCATCTACAAAAATTTAGGCGGGCTCTGCTTACATAATAGAATGGTTGCCAGCAAAGGAACAGACGATGATGCGAACAAAGAGATTGGTGATGCTACAATTTGCATCTACAAAAATTTGGAGGCGGGCTCTGCTTACATAATAGAATGGTTGCCAGCAAAAGGAACAGATGATGATGCGAACAAAGAGTTGGTGATACAATTTGCATCTACAAAAATTTAGGCGGGCTCTGCTTACATAATAGAATGGTTGCCAGCAAAAGGAACAGACGATGATGCGAACAAAGAGTTGGTGATGCTACAATTTGCATCTACAAAAATTTAGGTGATGCATACATAACAGAATGGTTGCCAGCCAAAGGAAGAGACGATGATGCGAACAAAGAGTTGGTGATGCTACAATTTGTACTACAAAAATTTAGGCGGGCTCTGCTTACATAATAGAATGGTTGCCAGCAAAAGGAACAGACGATGATGTGAACAAAGAGTTGGTGATGCATACCTAATAATTTGCCAAAGCGAAATCAATGATGCGAACAAAAAATTTAGCAATTTGCTCTACAAAAATTTACGGGCTCTTCTCACTTAATAGAATGGTTGCCAGCAAAATGAACAAACGATGATGCGAACAAAGAGTTGGTGATGCTACAATTTGCATCTACAAAAATTTAGGCGGGCTCTGCTTACATAATAGAATGGTTGCCAGCAAAAGGAACAGACGATGATGCAAACAAAGTTGGTGATGGTAATTGCATCCTACAAAAAATTTAGGCGGCCTTCTTACATAATCTGCCAGCCAAAGGAAAACGATGATGCGAACAAAGGCGTGATGTTAATTTGCATCTACAAAATTTAGGCGGGCTCTTCTCAATGTTTTGCCAGCAAAAGGAACAGACGATGATGCGAACAAAAGAGTTGGTGATGCTACAATTTGCATCTACAAAAATTTAGGCGGGCACTAATGCTTACATAATGAACAGAATGTTTTACCAGCAAAAAAGGAACTAAAAATTGATGGGCTCGAACAAAGAATGGTTGCAAGCAAAAGGTGATGATGCGAACAAAAAGTTTGCATCAAAAAAATTTAGGCGGGCTCTGCTTACATAATAGAATGGTTGCCAGCAAAGGAACAAACGATGATGCGAACAAAGAGTTGGTGATGCTAAAATTTGCATCTACAAAAATTTAGGCGGGCTCTTCGCCACCTAATAGAATGGTTGCCAGCAAAGGAACAGACGATGATGCGAACAAAGAGTTGGTAATGCTACAATTTGCATGTACAAAATTTAGGCGGGCAGACGATCCCATAATAAAGAATGGTGATGCCAGCAAAGGCGGGAACAGACGATGATGCGAACAAAGAGTTGGTGATGCTACAATTTGCATCTACAAAAATTTAGGGCGGGCTCTGCATACATAATAGAATGGTTGCCAGCCAAAGGAACAGACGATGATGCGAACAAAGAGTTGGTGATGTGATTTGCATCTACAAAAATTTAGGCGGGCTCTTCTTACATAATAGAATGGTTGCCAGCAAAAGGAAAGACGATGATGCGAACAAAGAGTTGGTGATGCTACAATTTGCATCTACAAAAATACTTTTTAATAGAATGGTTGCCAGCAAAAGGAACAGACGATGATGCGAACAAAGAGTTGGTGATGCTACAATTTGCATCTACAAAAATTTAGCGGGGCTCTGCTCACATAATAGAATGGTTGCCAGCAAAAGGAACAGACGATGATGCGAACAAAGAGTTGGTGATTCTCAATTGCATCTACAAAAAATTTAGGCGGGCTCTGCTTACATAATAGGAATGGTTGCCAGCAAAGGAACAGACGATGATGCGAACAAAAGTTGGTGATGCTACAATTTGCATCTACAAAAATTTAGGCGGCTCTTCTTACATAATAGAATGGTTGCCAGCAAAAGGAACAGACGATGATGCGAACAAAGAGTTGGTGATGCTACAATTTCTACCCACACAATCTACAAAAATTGAATAAAGGTTGATGGGCTCTTCTCTCACCTAATAGAATGGTTGCCATTAAAAGGAACAGACGATGATGCGAACAAAAGTTGGTGATGCTACAATTTGCATCTACAAAATTTAGGCGGGCTCTCTTTACATAATAGAATGGTTGCCAGCAAAAGGAACAGACGATGATGCGAACAAAGAGTTGGTGATGCTACAATTTGCATCTACAAAAAATTTAGGCGGGCTCTGCTTACATAATAGAATGGTTGCCAGCAAAAAGGAACAGACGATGATGCGAACAAAGAGTTGGTGATGCTACAATTTGCATCTACAAAAATTTAGGCGGGCTCTGCTTACATAATAGAATGGTTGCCAGCAAAAGGAACAGACGATGATGAACAAAGAGTTGTTGATGATGCACAGCCAAAATTTGCATCTACTAAAAAATTTTCTGCTCAGTATGTACAAAAACAGAAAACCTATTAGAATGTTGCCAGCAAAAGGAACAGACGATGATGCGAATAAAGAGTTGTGATGCTACAATTTGCATCTACAAAAAATTTAGGCGGGCTCTTCTTACCTAATAGAATGGTTGCCATTAAAAGGAACAGACGATGATGAGAACAAAGAGTTGGTGATGCTACAATTTGCATCTACAAAAATTTAGGCGGCTCTTCTTACATAATAGAATGGTTGCCAGCAAAAGGAACAGACGATGATGCGAACAAAAGAGTTGGTGATGCTAAATTTGCATGTACGTAATAAAAATTTGAGGCGGGCTCTGCATCTACAAAAAATAATAGAATGGTTGCCAGCAAAGGAACAGACGATGATGCGAACAAAGAGTTGGTGATGCTACAATTTGCAAAAATTTGCATGTACAAAATTTAGGAATGGTTGCCAGCAAAAAGGAACAAACGATGATGCGAACAAGAGTTGGTGATGCAATTTTGCATCTACAAAATTTAGGCGGGCTCTTCTCAATAATACAATGTTTGCCAGCAAAAAGGAACAGACGATGATGCGAACAAAGAGTGTGATGCTACAATTTGCATCTACAAAAAATTTAGTGGAGCTCTTCTACCTAATACAATGGTTGCCAGCAAAAAGGAACAGACGATGATGCGAACAAAGAGTTGGTGATGATACAATTTGCATCTACAAAAATTTAGGCGGCTCTTCTACTAATAGAATGGTTGCCAGCAAAAAGGAACAGACGATGATGCGAACAAGAGTTGGTGATGCTACAATTTGCATCTACAAAAATTTAGGCGGGCTCTGCTTACATAATAGAATGGTTGCCAGCAAAGAAACAGACGATGATGCGAACAAAGAGTTGGTGATGCTACAATTTGCATCTACAAAAAATTTAGGCGGGCTCTGCTTACATAATAGAATGTTTGCCAGCCAAAAGGAACAGACGATGATGCGAACAAAGAGTTGGTGATGCTACAATTTGCATCTACTAATAGAAAAAATTTTAGGTACAAAATTTGGGGGAACTCTGCTTGATAATAGAATGGATTTGCCAAAAAGGAAAGACGATGATGCGAACAAAGTGAATGGTTGCCTACAAAATTTAGGTGGGAAAAATGGTTTGCCAGCAAAAGGAACAGACGATGATGCGAACAAAGAGTTGGTGATGCTGCAATTTGCATCTACAAAAAAATTTAGGCGGGCTCTGCTCACATAATAGAATGGTTGCAGCAAAAGGAACAGACGATGAGGCGAACAAAGAGTTGGTGATGCTACAATTTGCATCTACAAAAATTTAGGCGGGCTTTCTCACCCTAATACAATGGTTGCCAGCAAAAGGAACAGACAATGAGAACAAAAGTTGGAATGACAATGATGCGAACAAAGAGTTGGTGATGCAAAAAGGAACAGACGATGATGCGAACAATTTGATGCTACAATTTGCATCTACAAAAAATTTAGGCGGGCTCTGCTTACATAATAGAATGGTTGCCAGCAAAAAGGAACAGACGATGATGCGAACAAAGAGTTGGTGATGCTACAATTTGCATCTACAAAAATTTAGGCGGGCTCTCATACCTAATAGATCGGTTGCCAGCCACAGACGATGATAATAGAATGGTTGCCAAAACCAAAAGGTAAAAGGAACAGACGATGATGCGAACAAAGAGTTGGTGATGCTACAATTTGCATCTACAAAAAATTTAGGCGGGCTCTGCTTACATAATAATGGTTGGTTGCCAGCAAAAGGAACAGACGATGATGCGAACAAAGAGTTGGTGATGCTACAATTTGCATCTACAAAAATTTAGGCGGGCTCTTCTCACCTAATAGAATGGTTGCCAGCAAAAGGAACAAACGATGATGCGAACAAAGAGTTGGTGATGCTACAATTTGCATCTACAAAAAAAAAATTTATGGGCGGAACAGACGATGATGAGAACAAAGAGTTGGTCCATAATTTGTATGTACAAAAATTTAGGCGTTTGCATAATAGAATGGTTGCCAGCAAAAGGAACAGACGATGATGCGAACAAAGAGTTGGTGATGCTACAATTTGCATGTACAAAATTTAGGCGGGCTCTGCTTACATAATAGAATGGTTGCCAGCAAAAGGAACAGACGATGATGCGAACAAAGAGTTGGTGATGCTACAAAAAATTTAGGGGCTCTTCTCACGTAATAGAATGGTTACAAACGATTGCGAAGGTTGGTGATGCTACTGCATCTACAAAAATTTAGGCGGGCTCTTCTTACATAATACAATGGTTGCCAGCCAAAGGAACAGACGATGATGCGAACAAAGATTTGATGATGCTACAATTTGCATCTACAAAAATTTAGGCGGGCTCTTCTCACCTAATAGAATGGTTGCCAGCAAAAGGAACAGACGATGAGGCGAACAAAGAGTTGGTGATGCTACAATTTGCATCTACAAAAGAATTTGCAAAGGAACAGACGGCGTTGGTGCTCTGTACTCACATAATAGAAATGGTTGCCAGCAAAAGGAACAGACGATGATGCGAACAAAGAGTTGGTGATGCTACAATTTGCATCTACAAAAATTTAGGCGGGCTCTTCTTACCTAATAGAATGGTTGCCAGCAAAAGGAACAGACGATGATGCGAACAAAGGTTGGTGATGCTACAATTTGCATCTACAAAAATTTAGGCGGGCTCTGCTTACATAATAGAATGGTTGCCAGCAAAGGAACAGACGATGATGCGAACAAAGAGTTGGTGATGCTACAATTTGCATCTACAAAAAATTTAGGCGGGCTCTGCTCACATAATAGAATGGTTGCCAGCAAAAGGAACAGACGATGATGCGAACAAAGTGTGATGGTGATTTGCATGTACAAAAATTTAGGCGGCATACATAATAGAATGGTTACAAAGGAACATTGAACAAAGAGTTGGTGATGCTACAATTTGCATGCCAAAAATTTACACAAAATTTAGGCGGGCTCTTCTTACAACAAAGAATGGTTGCCATGGTTGCAAAAGGAACAGACGATGATGCGAACAAAGTGTTGGTGATGCTACAATTTGCATCTACAAAATTTAGGCGGGCTCTGCTTACATAATAGAATGGTTGCCAGCAAAAGGAACAGACGATGATGCGAACAAAGAGTTGGTGATGCTACAATTTGCATCTACAAAATTTAGGCGGCTTCTGCTCACCTAATAGAATGGCTCTTTGCCAGCAAAAAGGAACAGACGATGATGCGAACAAAGAGTTGGTGATGCTACAAAAACAATTTGCATCACAAAAAAATTTAGGCGGCTCTTAATAGAAAAAGGAACAGACGATGATGCGAACAAAGAGTTGGTGATGCTACAATTTCTAAAAATTTAGAACAGACGGCGAACTGCTCACAATTTAATAAAAATGGCTGCCAGCAAAGGAACAGACGATGATGCGAACAAAGAGTTGGTGATGCTACAATTTGCATCTACAAAAATTTAGGGCGGGCTCTTCTCACCTAATAGAATGGTTGCCAGCAAAAAGGAACAGACGATGATGCGAACAAAGAGTTGGTGATGCTACAATTTGCATCTACAAAAATTTAGGCAAGACTCTTCATACCTACCAATAGAATGGTTGCCAGCAAAAGGAACAGACGATGATGCGAACAAAGAGTTGGTGATGCTACAATTTGCATCTACAAAAATTTAGGCGGGCTCTTCATACTAATAGAATGGTTGCCAGCAAAAGGAACAGACGATGATGCGAACAAAGAGTTGGTGATGCTACAATTTGCATCTACAAAAATTTTAGGGCGGCTCTGCTTACCTAATAGAATGGTTGCCAGCAAAAGGAACAAACGATGATGCGAACAAAGAGTTGGTGATGCTACAATTTGCATCTACAAAAATTTAGGCGGCTCTGCTTAATAATAGAATGGTTGCCAGCAAAAAGGAACAGACGATGATGCGAACAAAGAGTTGGTGATGCTAAAAATTTTTGCATCAGAATGGTTATTAAAAATTGACGATGAGGCGAATACTGCTACAATTTGCATCTACAAAATAGAATGGTTGCCAGAATGCAAAAGGAACAGACGATGATGCGAACAAAGAGTTGGTGATGCTACAATTTGCATCTACAAAAATTTAGGCGGGCTCTGCTTACCTAATAGAATGGTTGCCAGCAAAAGGAACAGACGATGATGCGAACAAAGAGTTGGTGATGCCACAATTTGCATCTACAAAAATTTAGGCGGCTCTTCATACCTAATACAATGGTTGCAAATTAAAAAGGAACAGACGATGATGCGAACAAAGAGTTGGTGATGCTACAATTTGCATCTACAAAATTTAGGCGGGCTCTTGGTTCACTTAATAGAATGGTTGCCAGCAAAAAGGAACAGACGATGATGCGAACAAAAGAGTTGGTGATGCTACAATTTGCATCTACAAAAATTTAGGCGGGCTCTGCTTACATAATAGAATGGTTGCCAGCAAAAAAGGAACAGACGATGATGCGAACAAAGAGTTGGTGATGCTACAATTTGCATCTACAAAAATTTAGGGCGGGCTCTGCTTACATAATAGAATGGTTGCCAGCAAAAGGAACAGACGATGATGCGAACAAAGAGTTGGTGATGCTACAATTTGCATCTACAAAAATTTAGGCGGGCTCTGCTTTACATAATAGAATGCCATTTGCCAGCAAAAGGAACAGACGATGATGCGAACAAAGAGTTGGTGATGCTACAATTTGCATCTACAAAAATTTAGGCGGGCTCTGCTTACATAATAGAATGGTTGCCAGCAAAAGGAACAGACGATGATGCGAACAAAGAGTTGGTGATGCTAATTTGCATCTAAAAAAATTTAGGCGAATTGACAGACACATAATAGAATGGTTGCTACAAGCAAAGGAACAGACGATGATGCGAGCAAAAGAGTTGGTGATGCTACAATTTGCATCTACAAAATTTAGGCGGGCTCTGCTTACATAATAGAATGGTTGCCAGCAAAAGGAACAGACGATGATGCGAACAAAGAGTTGGTGATGCTACAATTTGCATCTACAAAAATTTAGGCGGGCTCTTCATACCTAATACAATGGTTGCCAGCCAAAGGAACAGACGATGATGCGAACAAAGAGTTGGTGATGCTACAATTTGCATCTACAAAAATTTAGGCGGGCTCTTCTCACTTAATAGAATGGTTGCCAGCAAAAGGAACAGACGATGATGCGAACAAAGAGTTGGTGATGCTACAATTTGCATCTTAAAAAATTTAGGCGGCTCTGCTCTTTCATAATAGAATGGTTGCCAGCAAAAAGGAACAGATGAATGCGAACAAGCTACAAGCATCTACAAAAAATTTAGTTTAGAATGGTTGCTACAAAGGAACAGACGATGATGCGAACAAATTTAGATGCCACAATTTGCATCTACAAAAACAGATAGAATGGTTGCCAGCAAAACAACGATGATGCGAACAAAGAGTTGGTGATGCTACAATTTGCATCTACAAAAATTTAGGCGGGCTCTGCTTACATAATAGAATGGTTGCCAGCAAAAGGAACAGACGATGATGCGAACAAAGAGTTGGTGATGCTACAATTTGCATCTACAAAATTTAGGCGGGCTCTGCTCACATAATAGAATGGTTGCCAGCAAAAGGAACAGACGATGATGCGAACAAAGAGTTGGTGATGCTACAATTTGCATCTACAAAATTTAGGCGGGCTCTTCATACCTAATACAATGGTTGCCAAAAAAGGAACAGACGATGATGCGAACAAAGAGTTGATGATGCTACAATTTGCATCTAGAAAAATTTAGGCGGGCTCTTCTCACTTAATAGAATGGTTGCCAGCAAAGGAAACAGACGATGATGCGAACAAAGAGTTGGTGATGCTACAATTTGCATCTACAAAATTTAGGCGGGCTCTTCTACCATAATAGAATGGTTGCCAGCAAAAGGAACAGACGATGATGCGAACAAAGAGTTGGTGATGCTACAATTTGCATCTACAAAAATTTAGGCGGGCTCTGCTTACATAATAGAATGGTTGCCAGCAAAAGGAACAGACGATGATGCGAACAAAGAGTTGGTGATGCTACAATTTGCATCTACAAAAAATTTAGGCGGGCTCTGCTCACCTAATAGAATGGTTGCCAGCAAAAGGAACAGACGATGATGCGAACAAAGAGTTGGTGATGCTACAATTTGCATCTACAAAAATTTAGGCGGCTCTGCTCACCTAATAGAATGGTTGCCAGCAAAAGGAACAGACGATGATGCGAACAAAGAGTTGGTGATGCTACAATTTGCATCTACAAAAAATTTAGGCGGGCTCTGCTTACATAACAGAATGGTTGCCAGCAAAAAAGGAACAGACGATGATGCGAACAAAGAGTTGGTGATGCTACAATTTGCATCTACAAAATTTAGGCGGGCTCTAGAATGGTTGCCAGCAAAAGGAATGACGAGATGCGAACAAATGTTGGTGATGCCAACAACAAAAAAGGAAACATAACAGAATGTTTGCGAAGGAACAGACGATGATGAACAAAGTGGTGATGCTACAATTTGCATCTACAAAAAATTTTAGGCGGGCTCTTGCTTACATAATAGAATGGTTGCCAAACGAAAAGGAACAGAGTTGATGATGCTACATTTGAACAAAGAGTTGGTGATGCTACAATTTTGCATGTACAAAAATTTAGGCGGCTCTGCTTACATAATAGAATGGTTGCCAGCAAAAGGAACAGACGATGATGCGAACAAAGAGTTGGTGATGCTACAATTTGCATGTACAAAAATTTAGGCGGGCTCTGCTTACATAATAGAATGGTTGCCAGCAAAAGGAAAAATGCGAACAAAGAGTTGGTGATGCTACAATTTGATGTACAAAAACAAGGCGGGCTCTGTTACATAATAGAATGGATGCCTACAAAAGGAACAGACGATGATGCGAACAAAGAGTTGGTGATGGCAATTTGCATTTACAAAAATTTAGGCGGGCTTTCATATATAATAGAATGGTTGCCAGCAAAAAGGAACAGACGATGATGCGAACAAAGAGTTGGTGATGCTACAATTTGCATGTACAAAAAATTTAGGCGGGCTCTTCTTACATAATAGAATGGTTGCCAGCAAAAGGAACAGACGATGATGCGAACAAAGAGTTGGTGATGCTACAATTTGCATCTACAAAATTTAAAGGGGGGCTCTTCTATACATAATAGAATGGTTGCCAGCAAAAGGAACAGACGATGATGCGAACAAAGAGTTGGTGATGCTACAATTTGCATGTACAAAAATTTAGGCGGGCTCTGCTTACCTAATAGAATGGTTGCCAAAAGCAAAAGGAACAGACGATGATGCGACAAAAGTGTTGGTGATGCTACAAAGAGTTGGTGATGCTACATTTGTATGTACAAAATTTAGGCGGGCTCTGCTTATAATAGAATGGTTGCCAGCAAAAAGGAACAGACGATGATGCGAACAAAGAGTTGGTGATGCTACAATTTGCATCTACAAAATTTAGGTGGGCTCTGCTTACATAATAGAATGGTTGCCAGCAAAAAGAAAACAGACGATGATGCGAACAAAGAGTTGGTGATGCTACAATTTGCATCTACAAAAAATTTAGGCGGCTCTGCTCACATAATAGAATGGTTGCCAGCAAAAGGAACAGACGATGATGAGAACAAAGAGTTGGTGATGCTACAATTTGCATGTACAAAAATTTAGGCGGGCTCTTCTTACCTAATAGAATGGTTGCCAGCCAAAGGAACAGACGATGATGCGAACAAAGAGTTGGTGATGCTACAATTTGCATGTACAAAATTTAGGCGGCTCTGCTTACATAATAGAATGGTTGCCAGCAAAAAGGAACAGACGATGATGCGAACAAAGAGTTGGTGATGCTACAATTTGCATCTACAAAAATTTAGGGCGGGCTCTGCTTACATAACAGAATGGTTGCCAGCAAAGGAACAAGAACGATGATGAAAAGAGTTGATGCTACAATTTGCAACAAAAAAAAGACGAGGCGAACAAAGGCAGGATTGCTACACATACGTACAAAAATTTAGGCGGGCTCTGGGCTTACATAATCCACAAAAAAGGAACAGACGATGATGCGAACAAAGAGTTGGTGATGCTACAATTTGCATCTACAAAAAATTTAGGCGGCTCTTCTTACATAATAGAATGGTTGCCAGCAAAAAGGAACAGACGATGATGCGAACAAAGAGTTGGTGATGCTACAATTTGCATCTACAAAAATTTAGGCGGGCTCTTCACGTAATAGAATGGTTGCTCAAAAGGAACAGACGATGATGCGAATGAAAGAGTTGATGATGCTACAATTTGTACCTACAAAAATTTAGGCGGTTTGCTCACCATAATAGAATGGTTGCCAGCAAAAGGAACAGACGATGATGCGAACAAAGTGTTGGTGATGCTACAATTTGCATCTACAAAAAAATTATCAGAATGGGCAGGGAACAGACGATTGCGAACAAAGTGTTGATGATGCTACAATTTATCTAAAAAAATGGTTGCCAGCCAGCAAAAGGAACAGACGATGATGCGAACAAAGAGTTGGTGATGCTACAATTTGCATCTACAAAAATTTGCCAGCCAAAGGAAACAGACGATAGGCGGGCTCTGCTTCACCTAATAGAATGGTTGCCAGCAAAAGGAACAGACGATGATGCGAACAAAAGAGTTGGTGATGCTACAATTTGCATCTACAAAAATTTAGGCGGGCTCTGCTTACATAATAGAATGGTTGCCAGCAAAAGGAACAGACGATGATGCGAACAAAGAGTTGGTGATGCTACAATTTGCATGTACAAAAATTTAGGCGGGCTCTGCTTACTGCCAGCAAAAGGAACAGACGATGAGGCGAACAAAGAGTTGGTGATGCTACAATTTGCTACAAAAAATTTAGGCGGGCTCTGCTTATAATAGAATGGTTGCCAGTTGAACAGACGATGAGGCGAACAAAGAGTTGGTGAACAATTTGACTACAAAAATTTAGGCGGAACAATAGAATGGTTGCCATTAAAAGGAACAGACGATGATGCGAACAAATTGGTGATACAATTGTATCTACAAAAATTTAGGGCGGGCTCTGCTTACATAACAGAATGGTTGCCAGCAAAAGGAACAGACGATGATGCGAACAAAGAGTTGGTGATGCTACTAAAAAATTTGCATCTACAAAAATTAAAAGGAACAGACGAGGCGGGCTCTGCTTACTAACAGAATGGTTGCCAGCAAAAGAATGGACAGAAGGAACAGATGATGATGCGAACAAAGAGTTGGTGATGCTACAATTTGCATCTACAAAATTTAGGCGGGCTCTGCTTACATAATAGAATGGTTGCCAGCAAAAGGAACAGACGATGATGCGAACAAAGAGTTGGTGATGCTACAATTTGCATCTAGGAAAAACGATAGGGCGGGCTCTGCACAAAATTTAGGCGGAATGGTTGCCAGCAAAAGGAACAGACGATGATGCGAACAAAGAGTTGGTGATGCTAATTTGCATCTACAAAAAAATTTAGGCGGGCTCTTCATACCTAATACAATGGTTGCCAGCCAAAGGAACAGACGATGATGCGAACAAAGAGTTGGTGATGCTACAATTTGCATCTACAAAAATTTAGGCGGGCTCTGCTTACATAATAGAATGGTTGCCAGCAAAAGGAACAGACGATGATGCGAACAAAGAGTTGGTGATGCTACAATTTGCATGTACAAAAAATTTAGGGCGGGCTCTGCTTACATAATAGAATGGTTGCCAGCAAAAAGGAACAGACGATGATGCGAATAAAGAGTTGGTGATGCTACAATTTGCATCTACAAAAAATTTAGGCGGGCTCTGCTTACATAATAGAATGGTTGCCAGCAAAAGGAACAGACGATGATGCGAAAAAAGAGTTGGTGATGCTACAATTTGCATCTACAAAAATTTAGGCGGGCTCTGCTTACATAATAGAATGGTTGCCAGCAAAAGGGACAGACGATGATGCGAACAAAGAGTTGATGATGCTACAAAAATTTGCATCTACAAAAAAAATTTAGGGCGGGCTCTGCTTACCTAATAGAATGGTTGCCAGCAAAAGGAACAGACGATGATGCGAACAAAGAGTTGGTGATGCTACAATTTGCATCTACAAAAATTTAGCGGGCCTGCTTACATAATAGAATGGTTGCCAGCAAAAGGAACAGACGATGATGCGAACAAAGAGTTGGTGATGCTACAATTTGCATGTACAAAATTTAGGCGGGCTCTGGCTTACATAATAGAATGGTTGCCAGCAAAAGGAACAGACGATGATGCGAAGTTGGTGATGCTACAATCTGCATGTACAAAAAATTTAGGCGGCCTCTGCTTACATAACAGAATGGTTGCCAGCAAAAGGAACAGACGATGATGCGAACAAAGAGTTGCAATTTCTATCTACAAAATTTAGGCGGGCTCTGCTCACCTAATAGAATGGTTGCCAGCAAAAGAAACAGATGATGATGCGAACAAAGAGTTGGTGATGCTACAATTTGCATCTACAAAAATTTAGGCGGGCTCTGCTTACATAATAGAATGGTTGCCAACAAAAGGAACAGACGATGATGCGAACAAAGAGTTGGTGATGCTACAATTTGCATGTACAAAAATTTAGGCGGGGTCTGCTTACATAATAGAATGGTTGCCAGCAAAATGAACAGACGATGATGCGAACAAAGAGTTGGTGATGCTACAATTTGCATGTACCAAAATTTAGGCGGCCTCTGCTCACCTAATAGAATGGTTGCCAGCAAAAGGAACAGACGATGATGCGAACAAAGAGTTGGTGATGCTACAATTTGCATGTACATCTACAAAATTTAGGCGGGCGAACAAAGTGTTGGTGATGCTACTCATACAAAAATTTAGAATAATAGAATGGTTGCCAGCAAAAAGGAACAGACGATGTGGCGAACAAAGTGTTGGTGATGCTACAATTTGCATCTACAAAAATTTAGGTGGGCTCTGCTCACATAATAGAATGGTTGCCAGCAAATGGAACAGACGATGATGCGAACAAAGAGTTGGTGATGCTACAATTTGCATCTACAAAAATTTAGGCGGGCTCTGCTCACCTAATAGAATGGTTGCCAACAAAAGGAACAGACGATGATGCGAACAAAGAGTTGGTGATGCTACAATTTGCATCTACAAAAATTTAGGCGGGCTCTGCTTACATAATAGAATGGTTGCCATTAAAAGGAACAGACGATGATGCGAACAAAGAGTTGGTTGCTAAAATGCTACAATTTGAATCTACAAAAATTTAGGCGATGAGGGCTCTGCTCATGCCAATTTATTAGAATGGTTCTCACAGAAACAGGAAAAGGAACAGACGATGTGGCGAACAAATAGTTGGTGATGCTACAATTTGCATCTACAAAAATTTAGGCGGGCTCTGCTCACCTAATAGAATGGTTGCCAGCAAATGGAACAGACGATGATGCGAACAAAAGTTGGTGATGCTACAATCCGCATGTACAAAAATTTAGGCGGGCTCTGCTCACCTAATAGAATCGTTGTCAGCAAAAGGAACAGACGATGATGCGAACAAATGTTGATGATGCTACTATTTGAATGTACAAAAATGTAGGCGCGCTCTGCTCACATAATAAAATGGTTGCCAGCAAAAGGAACAGACGATGATGCGAACAAAGAGTTGATGATGCTACAATTTGCATGTACAAAAATTTAGGTGAGCTCTACCCATCTAATAGAATGGTTGTCTGCAGTAGGAACAGACGATGAGGTCAACCAACAGGTGGTGATGCTACAATTTGCATGTAGAAAAATTTAGGCGGGCTCTACTCACCTAATAGAATGGTTGCCAGCAAGAGGAACTGACGATGAGGTGTACAAAGACGTGGTGATGCTACAATTTGCCTGCGCAAAAATTTCGGCGGGCTCTGCTCACCTAATATAATGGTTGCTAACACGAGGAACAGACGATGAGGCGAACAAAGTGGTGGTGATGCTACAATTTGCATGCACAAAAATTTAGACGGGCCCTGCTCACCTAATAGAATGATTGCCAGCAAGAGGACCAGACGATGAAGCGAACAAAGAGTTGGTGCTGCTACAAAAATATCGGCGGGTTCTGCACTGGTGGACTCTGGATATTATGGGAGTATTACAGCAGAAAGTCATGCCAAAAAATGGAAAAAGAATTTTGAATTGATAACTCTTATTTGAGAAACGTGCATCAGTGGTATCTGGCAGATAGATCTTCGTGTGGACGGAAGAACCGCCGAAATAGATGTATTGTTATTAAAAGCGGACCCTCTTGGATTCGACGTACTGATCGGCGTGGATACAATCAAAGCCCTGGGCGGGGTATCCATCTCAGAATCAATAAAGGTGCATTTCCTCTGCGAGCAAGCTTCTTCATACGCGATAGCATCACTCTCCATTGAAAAATCTGATTTTCACGTAGAATTCGATCAGCGACGAAATTAGAACCAATTAATCAATTAAAAGCTTGGAATTTTCACTTGTTTGTTGATAAACTGCATTTTCTAATAAAATATAAATGTTTGGCAAATATATTTTGATTAAAGTAGCAGTATTTTTTTAACCCTTTTGTATCTGGTCTTAAGATTTTGACCAGGGGTGTATTTTCAATAACAAATACAAGAAGCAACGTGATGAATTTCAAAATTGCATTGAATTTATTAAATGTAGATTCGCATGTCGAATGTAACGCATGTTTTACTTAATTGTGTAAGGAACAACTCCCAAACGTTTTGAATTATTTTTGGTTTAGGCCGAATTTTCCGTATGCTCACATTTGATATTGCTTATGCATGTTTATATATATAGCGCAGTACTAGATTAGCAATAAGGTCTCATCATTTTACAGTTCTGTTGTACTGTTCTTTCAACAACGCGAATGCGGGAAACGGAAATTCCAGCCAGTAGAGACGACGGCTGTTGCTGGATTTTTAACAAATGGTCGTCTGTTTTATATCCGCGACAAAATTAATGGATATAACTTTTTAATAGACACCGGAGCTGAAATAAGCGTGATACCACCAACACAAAATCAGGAGACTATGTCACAGTCTTATCATCTTCAAGCAGCTAACGGTACCAAAATACCAACTTACGGAGAGAAATCGCTCAATATCAATCTCGGCATGCGACGGAATTTTTTCTGGAATTTTTTCTGGAATTTTACCATAGCCAGTGTAACAACGCCTATATTGGGGGCAGATTTTTTAGCCAGATTCAACCTGTCTGTCGACATGACTAATCGCACACTGGTGGATAATCAAACCAAGATTTCAGTAAGAGGACTCACCTCGAAATACCAGTCTACTGAATCAGTTCTGCCTTACCTGAGGACCAGTACATCCGTCAGCTACTAAAAAATATCCACAACTCTCCCAGCCATTTAAATACACAGACACCATAAAACATAATGCCAAGCACCACATCAAGACAACTGGACAACCTGTCTATGCCACCCCAGACGATTGAAACCGGACAAATATAATATTGCGAAAAACGAGTTTCAACATTTATTACAGCAAGGGATCATCCGACCTCGAAAAGTGCTTGGTCTTCACCGCTACACATGGTGCAAAAGTCCGACGCTACAACATGGCGTCCTTGTGGCGATTTTAGAAGATTAAATGCTAAAACGATCCCGGATAGATACTTCTATTCCACATATCCACGATTTCGCCATCGGTCTACAAGGCGCCACCATATTTTCCAAATTGGATCTTGTAAAGGCGTACTACCAAGTTCCAGTGGCAGAAGAGGACATTCATAAAACTGCACTGACCACACCATTTGGCCTTTACGAGTTCGTAAGGATGCCTTTCGGGCTTAGGAACGCCTGTCAAACCTTCCAGAGGTTAATAGACGAAGTTTTTAGAGATCTGCCATTTATATTTGCATATGTGGATGACGTTTTAATTGCCAGCAGAAACCTCGACGAGCACAGACAGCACTTAGAGCAAACATTTGAAAGAATATCACATTACGGTCTGAAAATAAATACAGAGAAATGCATTTTCAGCTAACCAAAGGTTAATTTCCTCGGACACTTAATTGACAAGGACGGAATATCTCCACTACCCGAGAAAGTAAGTGCAATTTCAAATTTCCCACAACCAACATCAGTCAGACAAGTACGCAGATTCATAAGCGTGATTAACTATTACAGACGATTTTTACCTAAATGTTCTACATTACTTGCACCGTTAACAGATTTGTTACAAAACAAAACAAAGAACCAACAGTTAAAGTTAGAAGGGCCTAGCCTAGAAGCCTTCAAACAAGCTAAAACTGCTTTTGGCCAACTTTTACAAAAACTAAACTACGTAACGGACAGTGAGGACACAAAACTCACGCTTACAACAGATGCATCTGAAATAGCTGTAGGAGCAGTCATACACCAAATTGCTAACAACACAATGACGCCTATATCATTTTTTCTGCTAAGCTAAGCAAGACACAGACGAAATACAGCACCTTTTCAAGGGAGCTTCTAGCAATTTACCTTGCAATTAAACATTTTAAACATTTGCTGGAAGGAAGAAATTTTTGCATTTATACAGATCACAAACCATTAACATATGCACTACATACACATGTAGATAAATATGGTCCACGAGAAATCAGACATCTCGATTATATCGCCCAGTTCTCCACAGACATCCGATATATTAAGGGACAAGACAACATTATAGCAGACGCATTATCTCGATCTACAATAGCCTCTTTAAATTCCAGTTCTTTAAGTATGGAATTGATCGCACAAGAGCAGAAAACAGATGAAACACTTCCAGTTGTACAACAAAAACATCCTTACAACTGAAAGAAATGCCGATACCATTTGGTACAACAAAATTTTATTGTGATGTATCACAAACATATCCGCGTCCATATATACCACCGAACATCAGACGACTAGTTTTTCAACATTTTCACAATTTATCTCATCCAGGAAAAAGAGCCACTGTAAAATTAATAGCAGAACGCTTTGTTTGGCCCAATATGAACACGGACATTCGCAATTGGACTAAAACTTTTATACCTTGCCAAAAGAACAAAATCCACAGACACACGAAATCACCACTTGGCACTTTTAGCATACCTGATGCTAGATTCACCAACATTCATGTCGACTTAGTAGGACCTTTACCCCACCTCAAAAGGACATACACATATTCTTACTATAGTTGACAGATTTAGCAGATGGCCTACAGCCATAGCAGTCAAAAGACACTTCAGCTGCAAACAATAGCCAGAGTTATACTGCAGGACTGGATAGAAATTTTTGAGTACCTTCAGTAGTAACAACAGATAGAGGTTCACAATTCCAATCAACACTTTTGCTGAATTTACCCAATTGTTAGGAACGAATCACATCAAAAACAACCGCCTATCACCCTTGTGCAAATGGGATGGTTGAAAGATTCCACAGACAGTTAAAAGCTTCTCTAGATATGAATTTAAATAATGCGGACTGGACAGACAATTTACCGCTAATTCTTTTAGCGATAAGAAACACGGTGAGAGAAGATTTGCAAAGCACACCTGCAGAGGTAGTTTTCGGATCAGCATTAACATTACCTGGACAGAATTTTAATCACAAGACAGACATTTCACCTACAACAACGTTTGTAACAGAATTAAAACATAAAATGTCTCTTCTCAACTTTGCACCAACCAGGAAAAGAGAAACAAACTTACATCCCAAACGATCTTCACACCTGCAAATATATATTTATCAGAAATGATGCAGTTAAAAAACCACTCTGTCCAAATTATTCAGGACTATATCAAGTTCTGGACAGGCATGAAAAATATTTTACTGTTATGAGAAAAGAAAAGAAAGATAATATCGCTATTGATCGCATCAAACCAGCGTACATCGACGAACAACCTCATACAATACCTCCACAAACACATATTCACACAGAAAATGAGGAAGCTAAAAAACAAAATACTGACATCACACCTACAACGAAAACCGGCAGAAAAGTCCACTGGCCGAAACATTTTAAAGTTGATTTGTAAATGTGCAACATGGACTCTGACGTGAAAAACCTTCTGGCACGACTCCGTGACCCAACTTTCTTTGCAGTAGATGCAGCTATTTGTTCAATGTAATCGTTCCACTTCAAGTCAGTTGAAAACGTGAGGCCAGGAAGCCACAGTGTGCTGCTCTCCGCGTCAGCCATGACAGAAAAGTTTCTCTATGTTTAGGGCCAGCGGGTCTTATCTCCGACTGGGGAGGCGGTTTTGGAGGCCTAGTTGTAGTGACCTCTGACCTTTTTTTTTTCAACAGAAAAATTCAAAAAGTCCTCAAAAAATAACTTTAAAACACTTTGAGCTGAGACGTCTCGTTTGTATATTCTGATAAAAACGGAGGTGGGTGCTGTGCTGTTTCTTATTTTTCCACACACATACACACAATAAAAATTAATTCACACCACGTGTATTAAAAAAATACAATTGCGCGGGAATTCATTCCTTACCATGCCCTGTGGGGTCAAAAACAAGGACGGCGCACCCAAAAAAAAAAGTTCGGACGTAGTGAAAAGCACACCACGTGGTCAAAAATATGATTTATTGACCAATCAGGGCTCGACATAAGAAACCCATTTCTTAATCTCCCGGAGCCTCATCATTCTTATATAAGGAAGGTAGAAACTCTCATCAGAAGGAGAGAGAACAGCGACAAGCTGACAATCAAAGCGACACGGACAGGGCTTGAGCACACACACACCGAGAGGATTCAGCGGTTCACACAACAGGCAGTATCACGTATCAGTGAACATTCTTTCACCCTCTCTTCATCTCGCTCGCTACACATAGTCCTACCTTTCCCTCTCACATTCCCAGCTTTACGGACAATTTCATTTTTGTACAAGAAAAAAAATAATTCTTTACAAAAATAAACAAAAGTTTATTTTACTTTATTTGTAGTGTATTTTCTTTTTATTATTTGTTTGAGGGACTTCTCTGCACCCTCTACAGTGCTCTTTGAAAAACTTCCTCATTGTGCAATTTTCTTGTTGCTTACTCCGATTTTTCTATTTTTAAAGGGTTTAATTTTTCTGTTTGAATCCGTTTCTTTATTAAACAAATTGTAATATATTTTCTTGTTTCTGTGGGTAATCCCTTTTTTGTTACCCCAGGAAATCGTTATTCTGCCGAAATAGGCACACAAAAGGAATTTTTTGTGCAACCCTCATATTGTACTTTTTTGTGTTTGTAAATTGTAAAATGTGTTTTTTCCCCATTTAAAATTTTACGTAGTATTTGCCTTATTTCTTCTTATTATCAAGAGTTGCATTTTCTGCCAACTAGGTTTTGTGTCTGGCACAAGAATTTGGAGTTGGTAGGAAAGTAAAATTTTTATATTTTGCACAAATTTTTTTATGTTACGGTG